CACAAGTGTCCAGGAATTTATCCATTTCTTCCAGGTTTACTAGTTTATGTGCATAGAGTTGTTTGTAATAATCTTTGATGATGGTTTGAATTTCTGTGGAATCAGTGGTGATATCCCTTTTATCATTTTTTATTGCTTCAATTTGGTTATTCTCTCTTTCCTTTTTTATTAATCTGGCTAGTGGTCTATTTTGTTGATCTTTTCAAATAAACACCTCCTGGACTTACTGATTTTTTGAAGGGTTTTTTGTGTCTCTATCTCCTTCAGTTCTGCTCTGATCTTAGTTATTTCTTGTCTTCTGCTAGGTTTTGAGATTTTTTGATCTTGCTCCTCTAGCTTTTTCAATTTTGATGATAGGGTGTCAATTTTAGATCTCTTCTTGCTTCTCGTGTGGGCACTTATTGCTATATATTTTTCTCTACAGACTGCTTTAGTGTCCCAGAGATTCTGGTATGTAGGTCTTCATTCTCGTTGGTTTTAAAAAACATCTTTATTTCTGCCTTCATTTCATTGTTTATCCAGTCAACATTCAAGAGCCAGTTGTTCAGTTTCCATGAAGCTGTGTGGTTCTGAGTTAGTTTTCGAATTCTGAGTTCTAACTTGATTGCACTGTGGTCTGAGACTGTTATTATTTCCATTCTTTTGCATTTGCTGAGGAGTGATTTACTTCCAATTACATGGTCAGTTTTAGAGTAGGTGTGATGTGGTGCTGAGAAGAACTTATATTCTGTTGATTTGGGGTGGAGAGTTCTGTAAATGTCTATTAGGTTGCTTGTTCCAAGTCTGAGTTCAAGTCCTGGATATCCTTGTTAATTTCTGTCTGGTTGATCTGTTAATTTCTGTCTGGTTAATCTTGACAATGGGGTGTTAAAGTCTCCCACTATTATTGTGTGGGAGTCTAAGTCTCTTTGTAAGTCGTTAAGAACTTGCCTTATGTATCTGGGTGCTCCTGTATTGGGTGCAAATATATTTAGGATCGTTAGCTCTTCTTGTTGCATCAATCCTTTTACCATTATGTAATGTCCTTCTTTGTCTCTTTTGATCTTTGTTGCTTTAAAGTCTATTTTATCAGAGATGAGAATTTCAGCTCTTGCTTTTTTTGCTCTCCATTTGCTTCATAAATCTTCCTCCATCCCTTTATTTTGAGCCTTTGTGTATCCTTGCATGAGAGATGGATTTCCTGGATACAGCACACCGATGGGTTTTGGCTTTTTATCCAATTTGCCAGTCTGTGTCTTTTGATTGGGGCATTTAGTCCATTTATATTTAGGGTTAATATTGTTATGTGTGAATTTGATCCTGCCATTTTGATGCTAGCTGGCTGTTTTGCCCATTAGTTGATGCAGATTCTTCATTTTGTTGATGGTCTTCACCATTTGGTATGTTTTGGAGTGGCTGGTACTGGTTGTTCCTTTGTATGTATAGTGCCTCTTTCAGGAGCTCCTGTAAAGCTGGCCTGGTGGAGACAAAATCTCTGAGTACTTGCTTGTTCACAAAGGATTTCATTTTCCCTCCACTTGTGAAGCTTAGTTTGGCTGGATATGAAATTCTGGGTTGAAAGTTCTTTTATTTAAGGATGTTGTATGGTTTCTGCTGAGAGATCTGCTGTGAGTCTAATGCACTTCCCTTTGTGCATAACCCAACCTTTCTCTCTGGCTGCCCTTAGCATTTTCTCCTTCATTTCAATCCTAGTGAATCTGACGATTATGTGCCTTGGGGTTGCTCTTCTTGAGGAATATCTTTGTGGTGTTCTCTGTATTTTCTGGACTTGAATATTGGCCTGCCTTGCTAGGTTGGGGAAGTTTTCCTGGATAATATCCTGAAGAGTATTTTCCAGCTTGGATTCATTCTCTTCGTCACATGCAGGTACACCTATCAAACGTAGATTAGGTCTTTTCACATAGTCCCATATTTCTTGGAGACTTTGTTCATTCCTTTTTACGCTTTTTTCTCTAATCTTACCTTCTCATTTTATTTCATTGAGTTGACCCTCGACCTCTGATATCCTTTCTTCTGCTTGGTCAATTCGGCTGTTGAAACTTGTGCATGCTTCGCAAAGTTCTCGTGTTTTTCAGCTGCATCAATTCACTTATATTCCTCTCTAAGTTGTCCGTTCTTGTTAGCATTTCGTCAAATCTTTTTTCAAGGTTCTTAGTTTCTTTGCATTTGGTTAAAACATGTTCTTTGGTACAGAGAGTTGGTACCAGTTTGGCCCAGGAGTTGGTACAGAGCTGAATCAAGTGCAGCAGACTGTTGAAATCACAGAAGATCTATAAAGAGAGGAGTCAGTGTGGTTGACGATTCCTGGAGATGGGACCAAAGCCTGTGGCTAGGGGTGTGCTCCAGGGAAAGGTGTAAGAGTCTTCATCTTCCACACCAGCCTCTGGCTCTGCTCCATGGTTTTTCCATAGTAACTTTCATCCTACTGACTCTCTACCTGCACTCTGTACAGACAACTACTATACTGGGCAGGACACTGGCCAGTTATGTGGCCTTAGGCCTTCATGATTGAGGCCATGGCATAAAATCCTCACTGGTCAGGTGTAGCCACAAGTTAGCTCAGCTCACACAGATCAGGTTGGAATGGGAGTGGCTGATTGATTAAAAGTTAGGATTTCCTTGGCCTAAAGCACACATATTGCCTGAAATCTTCCGTCATCTCTAGGCCCTAGGACAGGATTAAGGCTGGGACTGGGTTTTCAGGAAGTCCACAGGTTGAGTAAAAAAAAAGAACATGTTCTTTTAGCTCACAGAAGTTTCTCATTACCCACCTTCTGAAGTCTGATTCCGTCATTTCATCACACTCATTCTCCACACTCACTCGTTCACTTGCTGGTGAGGAGTTGTGATCCCTTGTAGGAGGAGAGGTGTTCTGGTTTTGGGTGTTTTCCTCCTTTTTGTGCTGGTTTCTTCCCATCTTTGTGGATTTATCCACCTGTTGTCTTTGTAGTTGCTGACTTTCAGATTGGGTCTCTGAGTGGATGTCCAGTTGATGATGAAGTTATTTCTGTTTCTTATTTTTCCTTCTAACAGTCTGGCCCCTCTGCTGTAGGACTGCTGAGGTCTGCTCCAGGCCCTGCTTGCCTGAGGATCACCTGCAGCAGCTGCAGAACAGTCAGGGTTGCTACCAGTTTCTTCTTCTGCTATCTTTGTCCCAGAAGGATACCCGCCAAATGTCAGTCTGATCTCTCCTTTATGAGGTGACTCTTTGGATATACAGGGGTCAGGGAGCTGCTTGAGGAGACAGTCTGTCCTTTATAGGAACTCAAGTGCTGAGCTGTGAGCTCCATTGTTCATTCAGAGCTGCTGGGCAGGTACGTTTAAGTCTGCTGCAGCAGAACTCATAAACCCCCCACTTTTTTTTCCCAGGTGCTCTGTCCCGGGGCGTTAGGGCTTTATTTATGAGTTTCCATTGTGCTGCTCCCTTTTATTTTCAGGGTTGCCCTGCCCAGCAAGGAGGCAGCCTAGTCACTGCCTGCCTGCAGAGGCTTTGCTGAGCTGCTGTGGGCTCCGCCCAGCTGCCGTGTGAACTTCCCTACAGTCCTGTTTATATGGGGGTATTTAGAACTGCCTTGGCAATGGTGGCCCACCTCTATTGATGGACTCTCTCTTTAATGGCAGGTTGCCTTGGCAATGGGTGGGCTGCTTCAGTAATGGCGGACTACCTCCATAGTGACGGAGTGCCTCAGTAGTGGCGGACGCCCCTTCCCCACAGAGCCAGACTGTCCCGGGTTCAGCTGTGCTTGCTGTGAAACTCTCAATCCAGAGAGTTTCTGATTGCTGTTCTTTTGTAGGGGTGGGACCAGCCAAGCCTGATCACCTGGCTCCCTGCCTCAGAGCCTTTTTTTTTTCTTTTTAGTTGAACAGTCAACTCTCTCCTAGGTGTTCCAGTCACCTGTTGAAAAGGCGCCAGGACCTCTGCGATTTCCCATGCGGCAACTCACTGCACCGGCTTAAACAGTGGCGCTGAGATTTGTGGCGCTTTCTTTGCCCAGGAATCTCCTGGCCTGGCTCCCTGTTCAGTCCCTTTTTTAATCAGATGAATGGGCGACTTCCCGGGGTTCGAATCGCCAGCTAAAAGGGCACCTGGACCAGTGTATTTTGTACGGAGAACCGCCATGCCTGGGCGTGACAAAGCAGCCATGCCAGCCAAAACAGCCGCGCCGGCCAAAACAGGCGCACTGGTGACCTGTGGGGCTCCTCCGCCTGGGAATCTCCTGGTCTATGGGCAATAAAAATCCATCTGGAAATGCGGCGTCCACTCACCCTCTGCACTTTCACTGGGAGCTGTAATCCTGAGCTGCTCCTAACGGGCCATCATCTTGGTTCTAAAATTTATAAGAGTTCCTTTATTTATTTACACACAGACATTCCCCATATAAGTGAACAAGTTTCATCATAAGTCAAGTATTGTACACAGTGAGAGGCATGTGCTAGTACATTTAGTTTTTATCTCTGCCACTTAATAAAGTGAGCAGTTTTCTCCTATCCGTTAACTCTCTCTCCTCATAGGATTCATCCATCTTCTAACTTCCACTTTTTCCCATCACCCTACCATTCATTCCTCCATCCCATGTGCTCATCATATCATAATGGCTTCTTGATCAGCCCAAAAGTATTGCCATTACTTTGCAGGCACAGACAGTAGGATGCGGTGGGAATATGGCTAAGAGTCAGGATATGACCCTTTACTTAAAATAGAACATAGTTGATCAGGCCAGGTTAATAGGAGTTTCAAAGCTGGTGTAGAGAGATGTAAAATACATGTGGTAAGTCACTGCAAGAGATAAAATTCATCCCGGAAGGAGCTGAGAGGATCTACAGCGAGATATGAAAATCTAATAAAAGGGTGAAATCATCACTATTCATATACATGAGTTTGCCACTGCCTCAGTGACACAAATAGATAGAACAAAACAAAATTTGATTTCAAGTGAATTATTAATATCAAGTTAACTAAATAAAAGAAAAATTGAAACATTCAAAAGAGATTATTTTACCTTATAATTTTGTTTTGGTGCATCATAGAAGTCGTCAGCGTGTGAAAACTGTTTCCCTATGGTAACATTTGCATAGCTAAGGAAGCAAGGTAAGTAATGGTGACTTCAGAGTTCAGAAATTGAATGTTTAAAAATGTCAAAACAAATCATACGACAAAGTATTAAAAACAGCTTACCCATATCCAGTTCCTTTCTTTCCCGGGCTGGTGTATAAATTCTTTCCAGGTGCCTCATATTTTTTTCGAGGTCTCGGCTGTGCGCTGAAGAATGGGACTGGGCCACCTATTGTTCCATAGTAGCTTCCTAAGCCACATCTTATATACGATGTTTTGACGTTTTAAAAGGAGGAGGTTAAAATGGCAAATTTTAAGTCTATAAGGAAATAGAGCAAGGATAATGCAGAGAAAGGAGAACTATGCACAGACAGGCATAATTTACCCAGAACACGATTTAACGCAAGTATTAAAGGTCACTATATTTAGAATTTATTAAAAGCCTGCAGTTCCAGGGGCGGGCGTGGTGGTTCACAGGTAATCCCAGTATTTTGGGAGGCTGAGCTGGCGGGTCACCTGTGGTTAGGAATCTGAGACCAGCCTGGCCAGCGTGGCAAAACCCCATCTTTACTAAAAATACAAAAAAGTAGATGGACATGGTGGCGTGTGCCTGTAGTCCCAGCTGCTCAGGAGGCTGAGGCAGGAGAATAACTTGAACCTGGGAGGTGGAGGTTACAGTGAGCCGAGATCACGCCACTGCACTCCAGCCTGGATAACAGAGCAAGACCCCATCTCACATACATGCACACATACATACTTGCCTATGGTTCCATAATTTGGTATTGAATAAGTGCCTGTATGAGGGTATCTTATTTATAACACCAGTCTCTCTTTTTGGAAACACTTTCTGCATCCACTAAATTACAGATGTTTTTCACATATCTGTGAATTTTCTTTTTAAAAAAAGGAAAGCTTGTCTAATTATAAAACTGTTATTATTTCTTGGCTGACAGATGAATATAAGCATATTATAAACTAATATATTACGGTAGCAATTCCCAATTATTACCACACGGGTAAAGGTGGCTCAAGCCTGTAATCCCAGCACTTTGGGAGGCCGAGGCGGGTGGATCACGAGGTCAACAGATTGAGACCATCTTGGTCAACATGGTGAAACCCCGTCTCTACTAAAATTACAAAAAATTAGCTGGGCACAGTGGTGCGTGCCTGTAATCTCAGCTGCTCGGGAGGCTGAGGCAGGAGAATTGCCTGAACCCAGGAGGTGGAGATTGCGGTGAGCCGAGATTGCGCCATTGCACTCCAGCCTCGGTAGCAAGAGCGAAACTCCGTCTCAAAAAAAAAAAAAAAAAAAAAAGTTTATCACAGGCAGGAGAAAAGACTGAAAAATAGGAAAAAGTTATTTCAAGGGTAAAATACATATATATTCCATGAAAAAGAAAGAAAGTAGTGAAGGTAAAAAAAAAATCACCTTTTTTAATTTATAGCTAAGAAAACGAAAAAGTTCAAGAAACAGTAATAACAATAAATAAACAATTCAAATCTATCAAACGTGTCAAAAGGTAGAAAAAGATAAAATTAAATAAAAGAAGAAAATCCTCAGGAGAACGATCCAAGATGGCTGATCGCTAACAACCCAGGATTGCAGCTCTCAGGGAAGGCGCGGAGAACTAGAGGACACCACACTTTCAGACAAAGTCTGGTGGCTCACGGAGCAGAAGATCCCCCAGTGGAGGAAACACACGGTGGCCAGTGCGACTCTCATGGCCGGCGCAGCGGTTCCACTGGCACCTCGGCGCAGCAGCTCTCGGAGCAAAGTAAACAGGTTCGGAGGACCCGCATGGGTCCCCAGCAGGACACCAGAGCCCGGCGCAGAGTAAACGGGACCGGTTCCCCTTCTGACCGAGGTTTGGAGCCCCGGGAAGGCAGAGTCACCTACTACGGACACAAGAAGGAAGCCAGACAGGAGAATCCTGGGCAGAAAAGCACCATCAGTTTTAACGCCGCTGCTCTGGCCCTGGGAACTAACAACCTGGACGCCCACTCAAGAGACCTAATCTGAAAGTTGGCAATTTCAAAGACGACAGGAGGATAAATTTACAATGACGGGAAGAAACCAGCATAAAAAAGCTGAGAATACTCAAAGTCAGAACGCCTCTCCCTCTAAAGATGATCACAGTTCCACATCAACAATGGAACAAGGCTTGATGGAGAACGAGTGCATCCTGATGACAGAATCACTCTTCAAGGAATGGATAATAAGAAACTTCGGTGAGTTAAAAGAACATGTTGTAGCCCAAGGTAAAGAAACTAGGAACTTTGAAAAAAGGTTTGATGAAATCCTATTGAGAATAGACAACTTAGAGAGGAGTATGAGTGAATTAATGGAACTGAAGAATACAATACAGGAACTCCGAGAAGTATGCACAGGTTTAAACACTCGAATTGTTCAAGCAGAAGAAGGGATATCAGAGGTCAAAGTTCAACTTAATGAAATAAAAGGTGAAGAAAAGATTAGAGAAAAAAGGATAAAAAGGAATGAGCAAGGTCTCCAAGAAATGTGCGACTTTGTGAAAAGACCAAATTTACGTTTGATAGGTGTACCTGAATGCGACGGAGAGAATGAATCCAAGCTGGAAAATACCCTTCAGGATATTAGTCAGGAAAATTTTCCTAAACTAGCAAAGCAAGTCAACATTCAACCCCAGGTAATACAGAGAACACCACAAAGATATTCCTCAAGAAGAGCAACCCCAAGGCACATAACTGTTAGATTCACCAGGGTTGAAACGAAGGAGAGGATACTAAGGGCAGCCAGAGAGAAAGATCAGGTTACCCACAAAGGCAAGCCTATCAGACTTACAGCAGATCTCTCAGCAGAAACTCTACAGGCCAGAAGAGAGTGGGGGCCAATATTCAACATCCTCAAAGAACAGAACCTTCAGCCCAGAATTTCATATCCAGCCAAACTAAGCTTCACAACTGAAGGAAAAATAAAATCTTTTATGAACAAGCAAGAACTCAGAGATTTTATTACCACAAGACCTGCTTTACAAGAGCTTCTGAAAGAAGCATTACACACAGAAAGAAACAACCAGTATTACCCTTTCTAAAAATACACCAAAAAGTAAAGAGCACCAACATAAAGAAGAATTTACACCAACGAATGGATAAAACAGCCAGTCAACATCAAATGGCAGTAACCCTAAATTTAAATTGACTAAATCCCCCAATCCAAAGACACGGCCAAAACCCAACGGCATGTTACATCCAGACCTGTTTCACATGCAAGGATACACAAAGACTCAAAACAAAGGGATGGAGAAAGATGTACCAACCAAATGGAGAGCAAAAATAAATAATAAATAAATAAAAAGCAGGAGTTGCAATTCTCGTATCGGATAAAATAGTTTTTAAAGCAACAAAGATATAGTGGTAAAAGGATAAATGCAACAACAAGAGCGAACGATCCTAACACCCAGCTACATAGAGACTTAGATTCAATGAGACAGAAAATTAATAAGAATATTAAGGACTCGAACTCAGATCCAGAACAAGTAAACTTAATAAATATTTATAGAGCTCTCCACTTCAAATACACAAAATATACATTCTTGTCAATACCACATCACACCTACCCATAAGCTTAAATGAAACATTGATTGGCCATCATTAATACCCAATTTTTTTCAAAATAAAGCAATATTTCCATTTACTCTCCCTCTTTCTCTTCCTCTTTCTTCCTCTCCTTTACTCGTTTTTTTTTTTCTTTCCTTCTCTCAAAAAAAAAGAAATCAACTTGTAAACCTCTACATCCAGGTCGGCAATGTCTCTCTCATTGCTTGATTTCCTTCCTTCCCGTCCCTCCCTCCCCGCTTCCTCCCTTCCTTCCTTCCTTCATCCCTACCATCCTTCTTCCCTCCCTTCCTGCCTTCCTCCCCCCTCCCCCCCCAAAAAAAGAAGAAAATCCTCAATCTTTTTTTTTTTTTGAGACAGGGTCTCACTCTGTTGCCCAGGCTGGGGTGCAGTGGTGTGATCGCCGCTCACTGTAGCCTCAAACTCCCTGGTTCAAGTGTTCCCCACAACCTCAGTCTCCCAAGTAGCTGGGACTAAAGGCATGCATTACCATGCTGGGCTAATTTTTGTATATTTTGTAGAGATGGGGTTTTGCCCTGTTGCCCAGACTGATCTCAAACTCCTAGACTCAAGCAATCCATTCACCTCAGCCTCCCAAAGTGCTGGGATTACAGGCGTGAGCCACTGAACCCACCAAAAATCCTCACTCTTTGTGTGTGTGTGTGTGTGTGTGTGTGTGTGTGTGTGTGTGTGTGTGTTTTGAGACGTAGTTTCGCTCTTGTTACCCAGGCTGGGGTGCAATGGCGCCATCTCGGCTCACCGCAACCTCTGCCTCCTGGGTTCAGGCAATTCTCCTGCCTCAGCCTCCTGAGTAGCTGGGATTACAGGCACACACCACCATACCCAGCTAATTTTTTGTATTTTTAGTAGAGACGGGGTTTCACCATGTTGACCAGGATGGTCTCGATCTCTTGACCTCGTGATCCACCCACCTCGGCCTCCCAAAGTGCTGGGATTACAGGCTTGAGCCCCCGTGCCCAGCCATGTTTTCTTTTATTTATTTATTTATTTATTTATTTATTTTTTTTTTGAGACGGAGTTTTGCTCTTGTTACCCAGGCTGGAGTGCAATGGCGCCATCTCGGCTCACCGCAACCTCCGCCTCCTGGGTTCAGGCAATTCTCCTGCCTCAGCCTCCCGAGTAGCTGGGATTACAGGCACGCGCCACCATGCGCAGCTAATTTTTTGTATTTTTAGTAGAGACGGGGTTTCACCATGTTGACCTGGATGGTCTCAATCTCTTGACCTTGTGATCCACCCGTCTCGGCCTCCCAAAGTGCTGGGATTACAGGCGTGAGCCACCGCGAGAGTCTCACTCTGTTACCCAGGCTGGAGTGCAGTGACATGATCTCGGCTCACTGCAACCTCTATCTCCCAGGTTCAAGTGATTCTCCTGCCTCAGCCTCCCGAGCAGCTGAGATTACAGGTGACCGCCACCAAGCCCAGCTAATTTTTATATTTTGACTAGAGACGAGATTTCGCCATGTTGGCCAGACTGATCTCAAACTTCTGACCTCAGGTCAACCGCCCAACTCAGCCTCCAAAGTGCAGGGATTACAGGCATGAGCCACCGTGCCCAGCCACAAATCCTCACTCTTTTTTTTTGAGACGGAGTTTCGCTCTGGTTACCCAGGCTGGAGTGCAATGGTGCGATCTCGGCTCACCGCAACCTCCGCCTCCTGGGTTCAGGCAATTCTCCTGCCTCAGCCTCCTGAGTAGCTGGGATCACAGGCACGCACCACCATGCCCAGCTAATTTTTTATATTTTTAGTAGAAACGGGGTTTCACCATTTTGACCAGGATGGTCTCGATCTCTTGACTTCATGATCCACCTGCCTTGGCCTCCCAAAGTGCTGGGATTACAGGCTTGCGCCACCGCCCCTGGCCAATCCTCACTCTTAATAGAGACAATAATTTTGGCTGACATTGCCTACTGGAATTAGAAGGAAGTACAACTTATCCAAACGTAGTTTAACTTGTCTCAAAAAATACAGTAAATAAGCACAAAATTAGACTTCAGTTATCTATGAAATTAATAAATTGAGTTAAAGCTATTGAGTGTGAGCGAACATTACATTTTAAATCTCAGTTATGAAACATTACATTGACTACATGGTCTAATGTTAAACTACTTGAATGGTAAGAAGAAAAGATCCCTCACATTGACAGCTGTCATAACTAAGATACTGTTAAACCCCATGAGTATAGCTTCCCAATAATTTTAAAATCATGTATCTTTGATCAATTATTTTCTTTATCAAAAAAGAATTTCTGGCCAGGCACAGTGGCTCACACCTGTAATCCCAGCACTTTGGGAGGCCAAGTTGGGCAGATCACTTGAGGTCAGGAGTTCAAGACCAGCCTGGCCAACGTGGTAAAATCCCATCTCTGTTAAAAATACAAAAATTAGCCAGGCATGGTGGCATATGCCTATAATCCTAGCTAATAGGGAGACTGAGGCAGGCGAATCACTTGATCCCAGGAAGCAGAGGTTGCAGTGAGCTGAGATCACGCCATTGCACTCCAGCCTGGGCAAGAGAGCAAGATTCCATCTCAAAAAAAAAAAATTCTCTTAATTCCACTTTTTTTCTTTTAGACAAGGTCTCACTCTGACATGCAGGCTGGAGTACAGTGGCTTAATCACAGCTCACTGTGACTTCATACTCCTGGGCTCAAGGGACCCTCTCACCTCAGCCTCCTGAGTAGCTAGGACTACAGGCACCTGCTATCACACCCAGCTAACTTTTTAATTTTTGTAGAGATGGAATCTCATTATATTGCCCAGGCTGATCTCAAACTCCTGGCCTCAAGCAATCCTCCCAGCTCGGCCTCCAAAAGTGCTGGGATTACAGGCATGAGCCACTGCACCCAGCTTCATATTTTTATTTATTCTTAACAGCAGAAAAAATAGTCAAGGACATAGACATAATAATTAAAGGGAATTTTTTTTTTCAGTATGACTTTTGCAAGGTTTTTTAACAAATTTTATTCAGGTTGTTCTTACTATATCAACAAATAGACCACAGTGCTATAATAGATAATCCAAACTTTAATATGATGAGAATGTATTTAATCCAGATTACTTTTCGATCTAAACCATCCAATACAACTACCTCCACCTAAGACAAACTAAGAATAATACTTAAAAATTCACTTTACATAAGTAAGTCCTACAGAAAAACAAACATTTAATTTAGGGATAAAGGTGCAAACAATCTAAGACGTTTCCCAGAACACTTACGGCTTTTTATCCCCACTACTGGGGAGGAAGGCTTTGCTTAGATTCTTTTTGGCTGCTTGCATCATGTCCCGTCTCTTCACTTGATTCAGATTTACGTAGCCTTCACCTTCAAAAATCCTTACAAAATGGGGATCGAAATAACCTGCCTGAAGATTGGACATTGCTTTGGATCCCCCAGGTAGCATCTGTTTGTTTTTGCTTGCAGCCTCATTAAAGGGTCCTTTAAAAATACATTAGGAATGTTATAATTTTGAGCTTACTCTCAATTAAAGGACATGACAAATAAGAGAACAATTTCCCTGAAAGCCCTGTGTGAATGACTATCTTGACAATAAGACCTAAGAGGTGTTCATCAAAACATTTTCTTTTTTTTTTTTGAGTCGGAGTTTCTCTCTTGTTACCCAGGCTGGAGTGCAATGGCGCGATCTCGGCTCACCGCAACCTCCGCCTCCTGGGTTCAGGCAATTCTCCTGCCTCAGCCTCCTGAGTAGGTGGGATTACAGGCACGCGCCACCATGCCCAGCTAATTTTTTCGTATTTTTAGTAGAGACGGGGTTTCACCATGTTGACCAGGATGGTCTCAATCTCTTGACCTCGTGATCCACCCGCCTCGGCCTCCCAAAGTGCTGGGATTACAGGCGTGAGCCACCGCGCCCGGCCCAGGCTCAAAACATTTTGATGTTTAAGGTCTTGGTTATACACTCTGAGTTTTAGAGCTGGTAGAGACCTTAAAGTTACCTAATTCAATGTTTCTCCAACTATATACCAGGAAGCATTGTGTGAGATGCCAGTAAGAGTATGTGCGCAGGTTGAAGAGAAGGGTGTTTCATGCTCAAACGGAAGCAGTTCCTCTCTAGGGCATACACTTAAGACACATGAGAGTCTATGGCTACTAAAAGACATTAGCAAGAATGTTCATAGCAGTTTTGTTCATAATAATTAAAAACATAAAACAGCCCAAATGTCCATCAATGGGAGAACAGATTTTTAAACTGTGGAATTTACACAATGAAATACTAGTAGCCCAGTAGTTTTTTAAAGGCTGTTTTAATAAGTATTTAGAACTTCTTTCATAATTTAGATCTAGGAGAGCTCTATTTGAGGATAGCTTTGGTAATGTGTAGAATGTTTTGAAGTGCACACAATCCTTAATTCAACTGGCTATTAAAATGTGAATCTGTATCATCGACTTTTTTAAAGTTTTTTTTTTTTTTAGTCTCCTTCTGCCACCGAGGCTGGAATGCAGTGGTGTGATCATGGCTCACTGTAGCCTCAGCCTCTTGGGATCACCTGCCTGCCTCAGCCTTCCAAGTAGCTGAGAATACAGGCACATGACACCATGCCTAGGTAATTTTTCTATTTTTTGTAGAGACAGGGTCTCACTATGTTGTCCAAGCTTGTCTTGAACTCCTGGCCTCAAGCAATCCTCCTGCCACCACCTCCCAAAGTGCTGGGATTACAGCTGTGAGCCTCCACATCTGGCCAACCTCAATTTTTGAAAAGGTAATACATTCAAATAGTTCCAAATTCAAAAGTTCAAACATTTTCACAAGAAGTCTTTTTCCCATACTTGGCCACCCAATTCTGCTTCCACAGGCAAAGAGATAATCATTTTGTTTCCCAAAGAATGTTCAGGTATGTTCCAGTGAATGTTTTCATATACATCCTTTTTTATTTTTTCAAATGCTCTCTCAGAAGAATCACACTGTTAATTCTTAGCACACTGTGTATACTATTGTGCACCTTGCTTTTTTATTTAATAATGTATCTTGGAGGTGTCTCCAAATCAGTGTTTTATTTTGTACTATTATTTAGAAGTAATTGGATATCCAAAAATTGAACTGAGACATTTAAATATTCATATATATTAGCTCTTTTTATTACTTCTGACTTTCCTAAACACCCCTCAGCCATTCATTTGCATTGCATTTCTCAGGAAGGTAATAATGAATGGCCTTCTTGGACGCAAACGCAAATACTGTTTGCATGAGGGAGTGTCCCATCTAAGCAAAATATTCTGGGAGAAAACTGCCAGGCACCTTTGGAAAGAAAGAAAATCACCCATGAGGACAACAAATGAGGATAAGAAGCCTAATAAAAAGAGATTCTTATTCCCATAAAATAAAGTTCTTGTTAACCCACTTTAGAAATAAATGCTTTAAATTATAAACTCTTAAAATATCATTTGATTTAAATATTAAATTCAAATTTTATATAGAAAATACCCACTATTCCTCCATAGAGAAAACCAAATATACTTACGATTAAATGGTGACACGTATTTATCACCCACAGTAATATATTCCATTTCACTAAAGAGGCCAATCCTTTCCATGTCCGTTTTCCCTCCTCTCTCCACAGGCATGGTGGCTTCTTGTGGTGGTGCCCTCTATACTGCTGACTTCAAAAGGTTCCTTAGGGTCACTTCTTTTATAGCAAAATCCTGCTTTACACTGACAATAAAAATAAAGGGGAAAAGTTTAGGAAAAAAGTGATTATTGATTTTCAGTTCTAATTACTTCCAACTTCCAGTCTAGGAGTTTTGTGTTTTGTTTTTGTGTTTGTCTGTTTGTTTTGAGATGGAGTTTCACTGTCGCCCAGGCTGCAGTGCAATGGCACCATCTTCACTCACTGCAACCTCCACCTCCCGGATGGAAGTGATTCTTCTGACTCAGCCTCCCAAGTAGCTGGGATTACAGGCGTATGCCACCACGAGAGGCTAATGTACTTTTAGTAGAGACGAGGTTTTACCATGTTGGCCCAGACTGGTCTTGAACTCCTGACCTCAGGTGATCTACCCACCTCTGCCTCCCAAAGTGTTGGGATTACAGGCGAGAGCTACTGTGCCATGCCAGGTCAAGAGTTTTAAGGTTTACTATAAAATAATAGTCTCCTACTCTGTGGGGAAAGAATCTACTCTGTGGGGCTGGGGGAGAATACTGGGACTCACAATTGTCCATATGAGCCTCCCCCTTGACTCTCCATGTGAAGTGCCCACAAATTACAAAGGATTGTATAAAATATCATCTGCTGCACTGCCATTTATCTGTTGGAAATAATTATTAGTATATAGTGTATTATAAACAGATCCTTTTGAGAAGTTCAGGGTAGGTTTTAAATTAATTATATAAAGGCAGACATTTTTACAGTTTAGCTAAAATGATTTCAGCATCCTGCATTGTCCCTTATACTGAAAATATAACAGTTTTCAGAATGCATCCAGATACTACCCTACAATGCCTGAGGTTGTTTTTGAAGTTTAAATAAATTTAAGAAGTGTGCCACTGGTAAATTATAAAGGGAATGGGGAAGAGTACAATGATTTCGGCAATAAAAACAAGAACAAAAACGAAAATTCTACAATGATTTCTGAGTAATTTGTTAATGGGCATACTTCAACTCTGAGCTTTCTTTGGAAATGACCACTCGAAACGAAGGTGAAATATTAAACATGCAACGCCTTATTTAAAAATTAACGTATTTTTAGTAGAGACAGGGTTTCACTGTTGGCCAGGCTGGTCTTGAATCCCAGAGTGCTGGGATCACAGGCGTGAGCCACCGCGCCCGGTCTTTTAACTTAAATTTAGAGCAAGCTGTTTCAGTGCCTCTTCGCAAGCCTGCCTGAAACAGTGGCTCACCTGAGCATGAATCATTGCTAATGTATAACATCAAAGGGGCAAGTGAAGATTCATTTTAAACTAAAACACAAGCAAACATAACACCCTTCCCCACATCCTGCCTCTTCCACTGATCAGAGACGCTTTACGACCAAATTCCAGTCAAGATGCAGTACTTTGATTTACCGTATATTTCAAAGCTCCACCCCACCGCCCAATCACAAAGGAGTCCTGTGCTGCTACCGGGGCCTAAAGGTCTCAGGTCCTGTATCCGCCCGCCTCATCTGTCACCATGGAAACCCCCTCGTGGCCCCTGGGCTGCAATTGTCCTCTTTCCGTCCTTAGGCTGGGCTGTCTCCAGCAGCAGGACCATCGTCCATGCCGTTTCTCTTTAGGCAGCTACGTCAGCACGCAGACCCTTTCGCTCCCAACCCACCCCTCGCCATTAACACTGCCTCTTCGGACTGCTCAGTTTCTTAATCACTCCTTTAACTCCATCACAGTGCCACGTACTTCTTCCAAGCCCTCATCATGCTTCTCTGCTAGGTCATCAGCTTACATTCGTCGTGAGGGATCCTTTCACTAACGGCTCTTTGCCCCATGACACTTGGCTCCACAAGAGCAGGAGCTGCAGCAAGACTGAGGTTTCTCCCTCTCACAGGATCCCGGCGTCCGCACAGCTCCCGGCACACAAGCCAGCCAGGGAGGAGGGGGGGAAGAAATTCTTGCCTAGAACATTCCCACTATTAACTTTTTTTTTTTTTTTTTTTTTTTTTAGTAGACACGAGGTTTCACCATTTTGCCCAGGCTAGTCTCGAACTCCTGAGCTCAGATGATCCGCCTGCTTCGGCCTCCCAAAGTGCTGGGATTACAGGCGTGAGCCACCGCGCCCGGCCCCGGCACTACTTGGCTCTTCTTGAGCAACATTTACGAAATCATTTATCCATTTATTTAACATAGACCCTGCAAACCCCTTCGGGCCAGGCTTGCTGGTAAAAACTAGAAACACAGATTTAAGAAGGCACAGATGCTGCCCCAAGGAGCAGCATCTATTCGACGAGAAAATAGTGTATAGCCGAAGTCTGGCACGTTCCCTTGGAAAGGTAAGAAAGGTACCGATAAAGTGTCGTGGGAGGTGAAGAAGGGGCAGAAAAGTGGAGGAGGTGATGAATCTGTTTCCCAGGAAGAAAACGGAGGCTCGGAAGAGGCAGGCATGTAAGGGGCAACACCTGGCTTCGGCGAGGACCAAGTCACCTCTCTCGCTGATACCCACTCCGACAGCCGAGATCAGGTTGCCCCAGGTAGTTCAGATTAAGCGCGCTGCGGGAGCGGCGACGCCCCAGCCGCCCGCTAGACGCAGGGGCCGCTGAGCACCTCAGCACGTTCTAGCGTTGATTGTGATGTGTTGCCCTGGGTACGGGAGAATCCATTACAAGCACGCTGCGGGGGGATGCGAGGAGATTCGAGTCCGCAATGAAGAGCACACAGAAGGACGTGTGAGCGTCTGTAGGACAGAAAAGACTTAACTGAGAGAAGTCATCAAACACGTCTTCGGCCACCCGCCTCTCCAGGCAGTCGGAGAGGGGCTGTATTCTGGTACGCTCCGTGACGTATTGCCGCCGAGCATCTCGGGAGTTGTAGTTGTCCTGACCGGGCCCCGCCCCTCTGCTGGCGGAGACGCCACTTCCGGGCCGGCCCCCCGGAACCTTTTGGCTGGCGTCAGCTCCCGTGTTACTGCCACGTCGCGGACATGGTGAGTATTTCTGCTCGTTAGCGACCCTCGTGTTTCCCCCGGACTTTGGCAGCTGCCACGAGCCAGGCTCCGCAGCGCCTGAAAGGAGCTGGTCCTGCGAGGGCCCACGATGGCCGCTGCAAGCTCCGTGGACTGGGCGGACCTCCCTTTCGCCTGTCTCCGCTTCCCTCCTGTCTTATTGCTCAGCAAGGCTCTCTAGTCCCTATCCTTAATGTTGGTGCTCTTCAGGGATGCTTTACACCCTATTCGTTCTTCTAAAATTTTATTTCTAAGTTATACCTCTCTCCTGAGCTCCAGACCCACAAATCTGCTAACCGTGCCTTCACTTGGATAGCTCATATGTATTTCAAACTCTGCAAGTTCCAAACTGGTCGTTTTCACCTCCCCACACTCCACACCTGCTCTTCCTCCAGGAACCCCCACCTCTGTAAATGGCACCACCATACACCCTGTTATGCCTGCTCAAAACCTGGAAATCGTCCTTGGCATGTTCCTCTTCTCACCTGAACATGGAATCAGTAATCAAGTCCTATAGATTCTACTTCTAAATGTCTGTCTGTCCTTGGCCTTCCCACCATGAGATCTAACCATCTGGAGTGGTCACCTAACTGGTCTTTTAAGCAGATCTCCACTAATCGATGCCCCTTCCTGGAATGGGCTGTTGCACCTTCACTCATCCTTCAGATCTCAGCTTAAGTGTTACTTCTTCAGAGAGCATCTCGACAAATTCGGAAGTCTAGGAAGACCAGTGCTTTCCTGAATGATGTCTAATGGAATCTTCACAACAACCCTGGGAAGTTGTATATTTTTCCAGTTTTACAGAAGAGAGACTTTAGTGATTCGTTAAAATATGTAAAATTATACAGTAAGAGGCCGGGTGCAGTGGCTCACACGTGTAATTGCGGCACTTTGGGAGGCTGAGGGGGGCGGATCACTTGAGGTCGGGAGTTCGAGACCAGCCTGACCAACCCCGTTTCTACTAAAAATGGAGAAACCCCGTTTCTACTAAAAATACAAAATTAGCCGGGCATGGTGGTGCATGCCTGTAATCCCAGCTACTCGGGAGGGTGAGGCAGGAGAATATCTTGAACCCAGGAGGCGGAGGTTGCGGTGAGCCGAGATCGCCCCATTGCACTCCAGCCTGGGCAACAAGAGTGAAACTCTGTCTCAAAAAAATAAAAATAAAATTATACAGTAAGTAGCAGAGTTAAAATTTGCTCTGTTCTGTCTTTATAACTTTTATCTTCAGTATGTTTAAGCATTTTTTATTTAAATGGGCGCATGCTAGTTTGTATGGTAGTATTTTCTTTAACTGACTTCTTATTGATAGCTATTTAAGTGGTTTCCATCTACTTTTTGGTGATGAACAACCATAGGATAAATGTACAACAGTGAAGCTAAATTTGTCCTGAACTTCCTTGTTTCCTTAGAATAAATTCCCAGAAGTAGAATTGGGACACAGGGTGTATGATCTTTCAACAGATTACAATTTTAGAATAAATAAAAACAGTGACCCTTATAGAAATGTAACAAAGATTCTATAAAATGAGAAAAAATGTATTGCTATCTATTTAGTAACGTTCTGAGGATTGGAGTGAGTATGTATGTTAGGCATAGTGCCGTTTACATTTCATTTTATTTTATTTTTTGGAGGCAGGGTCTTGCTGTGTTACTCAGTCTGGAGTGCAGTGGTGCAATCAGGGCTCACTGCAGCATTGACCTCCCAGGCCCAAGCAGTCCTCCCACCTGAACCTCAGACTCAACAGATGCAGCCCACCACACTCAGCTCATGTTCGGTTTTGTCTTTTTGTGGAGATGGGGATCTGCCTGTGTTGCCCGGGCTGGTCTCTAACTCCTGTGCTCAAAGTGTTCCTCCTGTCTCTGCCTCCCAAAGTGTTGGGATTACAGGTGTGAGCCACTGCACCCTGCCTGCCTTTTACATTTGAAGAGCTCAATAAATGTTAGTACTTACTCATTTATTTAAAAAATAGGGGTCTTAGTGTGTACCGTGGTTCTTCGGCCTGTTTGAGAGATGTGTTTTCGGAATCTGATTAAATTTTTGAAATTTCTTCCCAAAATAAATCTTCATCTCTCTTTCTCCCTGTCTCATTCTCTCCTGTATGTATGTGTGTGTGTGTGTATGCATATATGTCTGTCAATACATGTCATTTGTCATATATCATCAACTACCTGAAACTCAGCATATAGCTCCAAGTTAAGAACTGATGAGTTCCGTTTCGAAGTGCTTTTTTCCCTTTGTAAGTTGTCAGCATTGTCCTGTGCCATTTAATTTTCAGCAAAAACATGATTTTCTTATGGCTATATGAGATTCAGATTTATTTAACCAGTCTCCTGTTGTTGGCAGTTAGGTTACTATCCTTATACCCGAATCTTTGTGCGTTTTCCAGATTTTTCTTAGACTAGGTCTAAGATTCTAAGTGCATAATCACTGTATCAAACCTATGATTAGAAATCTTTGATTCTTTCTGCCATATTCTGTGAAGAATTGCACCAGTGGATACTCCCACCCTCAGTATTAGTTTCCTCTCATTGTCTTGACTCCCTGGTACTATCATCTTGGGTTCAGTGCCTTGTCACATTCTTAAATTAGTTCTTACCATTGACGTTCCCTTGTCATTGTTAAATCCATCAAGATTACAATTTAGAAATACTGTCTTGAAGCAGTAGTTCTCACCAGTTCATAGTAGAATCACTGGCATGGGGACATAGGGTGCTTTTAAATAGCCCTGGGTGTGGTGGCTCAACCCTGCAATCCCAGCACTTTGGGAGGCTGAGATGGGCGGATCACTTGAGATCAGCAGTTCAATGCCAGCCTGACCAATATTCTGAGAACCCGTTTCTACTAAAATACAAAAATTAGCCAGGCATGGTGGTGTATGCCTGTAATCTCAGCTACACGGGAGGCTGACACAGGAGAATCTCTTGAACCCGGAGGCAGAGGTTGCAGATAGCTGAGATTGCACCATTGTACTCCAGCCTGGGTGACAGAGTGAGGCCCCTGTCTCAAAAAAGAAAAAAAAATCCCTGTGCCTAGGCCTATCCCTTAGACCAAGTAATCAGAATCTCTGATTCTGGGGTACAGCCCAGGTATTGGTGTTTCAAGCTCCCTAGCATGTAGCAAAGGTTGAGAACCTCTGATTTAAAAATTTTGGAGTTGATTTTGTTTCTTCCATAAAACAAGGAATTAACTTAAATAATTTGAAGAATCAAGCCTAATTAATGTCTTATAGTAAACTCAATTAGATTCTAATTTATATGAAAATGAGTTTTTTTTTTCCTGTAAGGCAATTTTGTTTTTTTTTTGTTCTAGGTGATTTCAGAAAGTATGGATATACTCTTCAGAATAAGAGGAGGCCTTGATTTGGCTTTTCAGCTAGCTACTCCTAATGGTAGGTCTTCTGAAAAATTCTTTTTTATTAGAAAATTGATAGTGAAATATACTGAGATTATCTCCATTTTGTAAATGAAACTGCTGAGTGAGAGATAGGATAAACTAAGATTATATAGTTAGTAAATGGGACTTAAACTTAGACACCGTGTCTCAGCACACCCACCAGCCCATGGAGTACCTCTGCAAATTATAAAAAGATGTTCCCTTTCTTAAGAAACTTTAATCCCCTCTTCATTAATTGTCACAAGAAATGTAAATATCCACAATGAGCACATTACAGACTTGCAATCGTATGTATAATCCTGAGTCTCCAGAACCCACTCTCTTAAATACTTCCTTATATGGGAGGAGCACAAAAACCCTGTGGGAGAAAAATCGAAAGGGTTTATATGAAGCGAATTCTAGGATGTCTTCTGTTGCTGACTTGAACTGCAGCCACAAACTGAGATAAAGAACATCAGAGGAGGAATGGGATGAGTTGTGTCTGAGATTTGTTTCATTTGGGATGCCAGTGGAAGGTCAAGTACAGATTCCCAGCAGGCATTTGGCCGAGTCAGAAATTTAGAAGAGAGTGGTCAGAGTTGGAGCTAGAGAATGTAATGTCTATTAATCTATTGATTAATGGATTACAGTAAAGTATGTTTCAGTTTATATCAAGTTGTGAAATGTAAGGTTTTATCCATAAAATAACAGTTTCGGGCCTATGTTATTAGTAGTGAGTTGTTTCCTAAAATGTTATTTTATGGATAAAACCTTACATTTCACAACTTGATATAAACTGAAACATACTTTACTGTGATCTTATTCCAAAGTAGAATTAATCCATTAATCAATGGATAATCCAGTAATCAAATGTAAACAAGGACTATAGATACTTTTTACCTGGTAATTAATATATTCAAATTTGTCTTCTGACTTGACTGGATTCCTCCTGTTTACTCGAGTTCTGTCAACACTCAACAAAGGGACTCTCATTAATGAGAAAATATAGAGAATGGAAAAGCTTAACTTTAAAGGCTTCACAATTTTTTTAGGTCACTTTGCCAAATAGTCCTTTAGGGATAAACAGAAGGTAATTTAAGAATGTTTGTCTTTTGTAGTACAGCTGAAAATCTTTAAATTCTACTTTCTGAAACATATCAAGATATTTTAAAATCTGACTTCTTCTGAGTAATCTCTTCTCTACAGTAGCCCCAAAGTATTTATTTATCAAGATACCAATGTGGTCATTTAAAAAATTTTTTAAATACTCTTTTGGCAGAATCAGGTCACTGAATTAATATTTAACTACGGGGTTTAGGAGTATAAGGCTAAGAGGAGCATTTAAAGACTGTCTTTGACTATATCTTCTTTTATTGTTTCCACTGTGGAAACAGAGACGTTTCCAAATTGAATATGTTGAATATTTAAAATACTAAAATACTCAAATTTTTTGAATATTCAAACATATTTTAAGTCTATTCAAAGGAAATCCTTGGAAACAAAAACAAACTGAAGCAAATATCAGGTTGGTGACATAACCATACAAAGAGAAAACCAGCAGCTGTGACTTCAGAACAAAGCACTTTGACTGTATAATCGTAGTGGGAAATAGCCCAAGGACAAAAAGGACCAAGAAATTAAAATGTCATTCAACAGTTGTATTCCTATGAGTAATACATTATTTTAATATTAATTAGAACACTTATACATTACTGATGGGGATATAAAATGGTGCAGCTGCGGTGGAAAACACTCTGGCAGTTCCTGAAAGTGTTAGATACGGAGTTGTTATATGATCCAGAAATTCTACTCTAGATGATCACCCAAGAGAATTGAAAACATCCACACCAAAATGTAACTGATGCACAAATGTTCATGGCAGCATATACATGACAGCCAAAACGTGGAAACAAATGTCCATCAGTTTATGAATGGAAAACAAAATTGGTATATCCATACAATGGAATATCATCCTGCCATAAAAAGGAATGAGGTACTGATTCATGCTACAGTACATGTGAAACGTTATGCTGACTGAAAGAAGCCAGACACGAGAAGCCATGTAACGTGTGATTCCCCTTATGTGAAATGCCCCGTATAGGCAAATCCATAAAGACAAAGGTAGGTTAATAATTGCCATGGGTAGTTTGCTGAGATTCTTTTCATTTTGCATATGGAACTGGGTGAGAGAGAAAAACTGTAAGATCATATAGTCAGTAAATGCATTGAATGGGATTTAAACTTGGATATTGTGTTCCAGTACCCCTGCCAGCCCATGGAGTTCCATGTGCAAATTAGAAAAGATGTAGGGGGTAAGTTAGAAAATTTTCAATTAGAGAAATGTAGGGGGAATGAGAAATGACTGCTGGTAGGTACAGGGTTTCTTTCTGGAGTGATGAAAGCATTCTAGAATTAGTGATGATTATAAAACCTTATGAATATACCAAAAGCCCTAAATTATATGCTTTAAAAGAATGAATGTCATGGTCTGGGAATTTCATCTCAATTTTTTAAGAAGATAGGCAAAAAAATGTTAAGTAATTATTGAATATGGGCCGGGCGCGGTGGCTCACACCTATAATCCCAGCACTTTGGGAGGCCGAGGTGGGTGGATCACGAGGTCAACAGATCGAGACCATCCTGGTCAACATGGTGAAACCCCGTCTCTACTAAAAATACAAAAAATTAGCTGGGCATGGTGGCGTGTGCCTGTAATCCCAGCTACTCAGGAGGCTGAGGCAGGAGAATTGCCTGAACCCAGGAGGCGGAGGTTGCAGTGAGCCGAGATCGCGCCATTGCACTTCAGCCTGGGTAACAAGAGTTAAACTCCGTCTCAAAAAAAAAATTATTATTATTATTATTATTATTATTATTGAATATGGGGAGTGAGTACTGAGTTTTACTGTGCTCTACTTTTGTGTATGTTTGGAACCATTCATGTTGAAAATTTGTTTTTCTTCTATTTATATTCTTCTAATTTAGAAATTTTTCTCAAGAAGGCACTGAAACATATGTTGAGTGACCTGTCAACCAAGCTTTCTTCAAACGCTCTCGTGTTCAGAATTTGCCACAGTTCAGTGTATATATGGCCTAGCAGTGACGTCAACACCGTTCCGGGAGAGCTGACCGACGTTTCTGCTTGTAGGAGCATACTGCGCTTTATTCCGTGAGTATGCTGGAAGATTTTTAGAGATGTTTTCAAAGCATCATTTCATATTATAAATGTCTTTGTGTATTAAAAATTTAGATTTGAGCCAGAAGAAGATACAAAACGAAAATTCATGAGAAGGAAAGACAAAAAGTTATCAGACATGGTAAGCAAATCATCTATCTTCTCCACTGATAAAAATGTTAAATCTTTGAATTTGGAACTGAGTGCAATCTTAGAAATAATTTAACCTAACCCTCTTATTATAGGTCAGAATATTGATGTCCAGAAAGATTAAATGACTTGCCAAAAGTTATTATGTAAATTTTACATATGTAAGCTTCTGTCTCATTATAATACATAATCTTAAAAGGGTTTTTTTTTTAAATAATGCTTTCTTTGCTCCCACAAAATAAAACAGCCTAAGTACATTTACAAATTATTTAAAATAAATTAAAATGAGGCTTTCTGAAGTGTGACAGAGTGACACATTGTGCCACATATGACAAACAGTAAATGATTTATTTTTCTTCACACTATTCTTGGTTCTGTTTTTTTTCTGAGATGGAGTTTCACTCTTGTCGCCCAGGCTGGAGTGCCATGGCATGATCTTGGCTCACTGCAACTTCCGCCTCCCAGGTTCAGGCGATTCTCCTGCCTCAGCCTCCTAGAAGCTGGAATTAGAGGTGCCCAGCTAATTTTTGTATTTTTAGTAGAGATGGGGTTTCACCATGTTGGCCAGGCTGCTTTCAAACTTCTGACCTCTGGTGATCCACCTTCCTTGGCCTCCCAAAGTGCTGGGATTACAGGCATGAGCCACCACGCCTGGCCAGTTCTGTTGATTTTGAACCAGTATTAATGAGTACCTGCCTCATGTCATAAACTTTAAGAGATATTGAAGATAAAAAAATGGAGACACTTCTTCAAGGCAGGAAGTTGTGTGAAGTTAATATGACTACAGTGTTTCTAGGCTAGTAGAGGGAGAATGTGTGGACGTAAGGCTGGAGAGGTGGGCATGGGCCTCTTGAGAAGAGTCCGAACTGAACCACTAGCTGTGGAACTAGAGAACAGGGAGTGGATATGAGAGATTAGAGATACAATGGATTTTGCTTGGAAACTAACTGGTATGATCAGTTTCTTGCTTGGGTAAACATGGAAGGTAAGGAGGACATGAGGATGGTTTGGGCCATGTTTAAGACCTCAGTAGGATGTACAGATGAGCTGTTAGATTTACAGATGTGGAATGCACAAAATAATTGTGGGCTGGAGAAAATTATTTGAAAATTGCCACTAGTTGGAGCTTGACATTTTGAGGGGTACAGGTGAGTTCTTTTTAAGACTGTTCCTCTTTTGGGGTTTGTTTTATGCTTCCTTCTTATTAGATTCAGGTCATACATTATTGGCAGAAATACCACAGAAGTGATGTGGTGTCCTCAGCACAGCATACTAAAGGGAAACAGTTCTCAATCTGTTTCAATTATTGGTGAGGTTAACTTTAGTCACTTACTTAAGATGGTATCCACCAGTTCTCTCCATGGTAAAGGTATTAGTTTTCCTTTATCATTAGTATATTGTGGGAAAGGACTTTGATACTACATGCATAGCTTACTGTAATCCTTGTCAGATTTTTACCCACCACTTTTAGCATCCATTGATCATGTTTGCCAGAATCCAATATTAATGTGGTGATCACAAAGCGGTGATTTTTCTAACTCTGTCATTCCCTTCTGTGTTATCCGCCATGGATTCTTACGTTGTGCGGTGGTGTGTGATCTGGTACCGTCATTAGTCACTTCGATGCTCACATTTTCCAAGGTTTGGCCAGTAGAAGCTTCTTCAGGCTGGCTCCAGTGCCCTGCTAACACTGTGATTTTGAGCGCTCCCTACTTTTTTCCATCAGATGTTCCAGGTACAACATGTGATCTCTGTTCTAGCTGGAGAATTGGTCTCCACGAGCACATACTTTAATGTATTTATACTATCCATGCACACACATGGCACATTCATCTTTATCTGTAAATCACGTTGCTGCCCCCCGCTCCACTTCAACCCTGCGGTTCTTGACCCTTTCCCAGTGAGAAGTCTGACTCCCAGGATCCTCAGTATTTTGCGAAATTTGTTGAGTGGGCATTTCGGAATGGTTGTTCCTTACCCCTGTAAAAATAAAACCTACAAAGTAGAGTTCAGTATTTGTTTATCGTTATTTATGTATTAGACCAGGGGTATATAGTTATCATATATGTTTCAAAGTTCCTTTGGTGTGTGCTTATTTTGTGTTCATTTGATTTTTTTTTAAATTTTAAATCAGTACAAAAGTGGAGAGAATCATGTACTGAACCCCAGTGAACCTATGCCTGGATTTAACATTTATCCACACATGGCCGGCCTCATTTCATCTTTACTTCCTAATCTCTCTCCCCACATTATTTTGAAGCAGAAAATACTTTCTTTTTAAAATAATATTTGTGCTTTTCATGTTTTTACCGTAGTGTACTATAGTGTATATACTGTCCTGAAAAAGTCCTTTTCCTGGCTGGTCTGAGGGTAGCAAGATATCTGAGTTGATGGTTCACAGCCAGTTACAGGCGAACTCCTCGCTCTACTCCTTCACCCCTTTTCACTACTGTACTTGACTAGTCTCTTAAATTTTTTTTCTTAATAAAAAAGACATTTTTAAAGACTTTTTACTTATTCTTTATATTTAGTGTTTAATGTACTACGAGTTGACTGTTACTTTTTATCTATATAGCATCAAATAGTAAATATAGATCTTATGCTGGAAATGTCAACCTCCCTGGCAGCTGTAACACCCATCATTGAAAGGGAAAGTGGAGGACACCATTACGTTAATATGACTTTACCTGTCGATGCAGTTGTATCTGTTGCTCCAGAGGAAACGTGGGGAAAGTAAGTCTTTTTATAGCACCACTGCCACAGTTAAATGAGGGCGCTTCCCACAGTAACCAGAACCCGTGTTTATATATCCCGTAGGCATGCCTAAGGTGTGCTTTTCTCCTTGTGTACTATTAACTGAAGAGCCATCTATTAATTAAATGGTTATTTGGAGGAAGTAGGGTAGCATGCTAAAACCTGGAGGATTGGCTGGGTGCGGTGGCTCACGCCTGTAATCCCAACACTTTAGGAGGCCAAGGCGGGTGGATCACAAGGTCAAGAGATCAAGACCATCCTGACCAATATGGTGAAACCCCATCTTTACCAAAAATACAAAAATTAGCAGGGCGTAGTGGCGCGCACCTAGAGTCCCAGCTACTCAGGAGGCTGAGGCAGGAGAATTGTTTGAACCCAGGAGGTTGAGGTCGCAGTGAGCCAAGATGGCACCACTGCATTCCAGCCTGGCCACAGAACAAGACTCCATTCTCAAAAAAAAAAAAAAAAAAAAAAACTGGAGGATTTCCCTTTATCCACAAAGAGCAAATACAGTTTCTTTTATAATGCATAATTCAGACTTCCTTTAAAAAACCTGGTCCAATCAAGCTTTTTACTGTGTTAAGGATATGTTAGCTCTGCACTTCTCTTTATTGTAGACACTATAACTTTTGTTAATACACTTATATACTTCTCCCCACAGAGTTCGTAAACTTCTAGTTGATGCAATTCATAATCAACTAACTGACATGGAAAAATGCATTTTGAAATATATGAAAGGAACATCTATTGTGGTCCCTGAACCACTGCACTTTTTATTACCAGGGAAAAAAAGTCTTGTAACAATATCATATCCTTCAGGAATACCAGATGGTCAGCTGCAGGCCTACAGAAAGGTAAAACCAGTTCATTTATTCTTAGAAAAAACAATAATAACTATCATTCATTTGTGTTGAATTTTTTATTTCCAATAAATGCAAGTTATTTTGTGATTTAACTTAAAAGTGTTAATTTAACTTAAAAGTATTAATTTCTGTTCTAATGAAACTTTAAGTATTAATGAAAAAAAATGTTATGTTGAACCTGTATGTAACATTTTAATTTTAAATGTTCAGTGTGGTTCATATTTTCTGTGAAATTTTAATATTTCATATAGAAATGAAAAGGTGCTTACATGCCTAAAGTAGCCGGTATTAACGCATTTCTATAACTTCCACATCTGTAAAGGAGACAAGATTGCAGTTAGGGAAGGAAAATGATAACTTTACTAATTCTGAGCAGGATTTATGGTAATAATACTTCACAGGTAAGGTTATTTGGGATTTATTAGAGGAATTTTGGAGTAAACATGACCAGCATTCCAAGTACTGAGATTTATTGACAAAATTACTGGTTTTGGAGTACATCTTTTTATATGTGGACTTGCTAAGAACACATCAAGGTAGACCATGGAGCATCTTCCTAATCTCTGTCCTTAGGAAGAGATACAATACCCTGACCCTCTGTACATGGAGGTGACTTCAATAGCTACAGCAGCTGATCTATTCAAACCACCAGAATACACAGAAGATTAACAAAGAACATGTCAGACTTTGTAAAGTAACTATTAAATGTTTGTATTCAGTTGAGAAAATGCCACATTTTAAACATATATGCGTCTTTGTTTTCCTGCCATGTTGGCTGGTTTTAGATCCCTAACTTCTACTCTGCAATTTAACCACTGCCACTTAAAATAGAAAATATTTATAAAGCACTCTAGCCATGGTTTTTTCTAAATACTTTATATGATTATTGTTAATTATAATTTACTCATTTACAAGCCTATTTCTTTTTTGTTTTTGTTTTTTTTGTTCTTTTTTTAATTTTTTTTTTTTTTTTAACTTTTTCATTATTTATTTATTTATTTTTTTTAACAAGGCTATTTCAAAATCAGTCTTTAGCCTGGATATACTTTAACAGACTATGTTATAATAAATAATTATTTTTAAATTATCTCAGTTCTCTTACTCTAATAATTTATATTCATTTTTCTCTTATTTTCATCCTTCAAATGAAAATAAATCTTACTTGGTTTTAGCTCCGTTTTCACCATCTTTGATGTTAGTGAATTAAATCATAAGTGTTTGGAGACTTATAACCCACATGATTTTCTGTGTTTTATAACATCTTTATTTATTTACTGGGAATCTAAGTCACCAACACTCCTTCTATTAATTCCGATTTCTTTTAGGAGTTACATGATCTCTTCAATCTGCCTCATGACAGACCCTATTTCAAAAGGTCTAATGCTTATCACTTTCCTGATGAGCCATACAAAGACGGTTACATTAGAAATCCACATGCTTATCTTAACCCACCCAACATGGAGACTGGCATGGTGAGTTTAACTAATTATTTATGGGAGCCGCTTGATCAGTTGTGTTATCACTTGCTTTTTGTTGGTACCCAGTAGAAGACTTGATTCATTATATATGTCGTCCCTAAACATGAGTTATCACCCATCCCTGTTAACAGACATTGCTTAAGACAGCAGTAATTAACAGTTAATAATAGGTAGTATATACCACATTTCTCTTACTAAAATTCTCTTATTTCTTTAAAGGCTTGTCCCATTTTTTTATTCTGAACCTGAGAAATCATGCTAATTAATGGCATCTACTCAAACCACATTGTAGGATAAGTCTTTTTTTTTTTTTTTTTTGAGACAGAGTCTCATTTTGTTGCCCAGGCTGGAGTGCAGTGGTGCAATCTCAGCTCACTGCAACCTCCGCCTCCTGGATTCAAGCAATTCTCTTGCCTCAGCTTCCTGAGTATCTGGGGTTACAGGCACCTGCCATCGCACCTGATTAATTTTTGTATTTTTAGTAGAGACAGGGTTTCACCATGTTGGCCAGGCTGGTTTTGAACTCCTGACCTCAAGTGATCCACCCATGTAGGCCTCCCAAGGTGCTGGGATTACAGGCGTGAGCCACTGTGCCTGACCACTGCAGGATAAGTCTAATGAGGAACTGGGCTTATTTTCTATGTAGCATATACCCGGTTGCCAGGGATATATCCTTACTAAAGGTAGCTTGAAGAAGAATGAATTGGCGGAGGGTGGTGAAGGGTTACTTTAAGGATACATGGAGGCCAGTGAGAAAGGCCCTTATAGGCATCCAAGGTTAGGAATGCCAGGGCAGACAGCTGGGCCTCCTGGAAACAGTCTCTCTCAAGGACTGCGTGGAGACCTTGGTGGCATTTCTGCTGCTTCTGCGTGTGCTTGTGATACCCGCCGGCCTGTCCTTAAACTCGGACTGTTTTCTCAGCCTCACACCCTCCATGTCTTCACTGTTTCAGCTCGTGTGTCACTTTTTCCTGTTCTTCCTTAGCTGCTCAGCATATGCTTCATTCTAACTGCATTTCCTGTTCCCAGCTACCTGGCTAACTCTGCACCTCTCAGTTCAGACTCCCAAGAGAAAGAAAATGCGGCCATCGTGTCGTGGCATTTATTAATACCGTCTGAGCATCCAGGAGACTTGTGAGGAAATGCTGAGAATTAAGAGTGATATATGATACAATACCTACCCTAGAGAGTTAGGGCCACGTTTTCCCTTAGTCATCAGCGTGTACTCGGGGCGGCAGATCATCTGCAAAAGCTGTGGGCCAACCGGCTTCCACAGAAAGCTCCTCGCAAAAAGACTAGTTCCTAAGAACCTGGACACACAGAAGGTGTTGAATGAATACTGACTGATTTTTGGCAATAAAATAGGTTCATTATCTCTGTATTATGAAGACATAAGAAAAATGTATACTTTACATATTTATCATGTAATATTTGATACGTACATATAACGTATATGCAAATTGTAAAGCACAGTGGGAAAATGAATACCAGGGAGCCCCTACCTAATTTAAGAAGCAAAACTTTACCAATCTGTGCTCTTCCCTTATCCGTTCTCCTGCCTCCCCGACACAGTTCCAAGAGGAACTGTCATGCGTTTTGTGTTCAACATTTCCTTCCTTTCTGAAAAAGTTTCACCATATATGCTACATATTAGTCTCTGCAGTGTCGCTTTTAATATTGCATATTTTTAACTTTTATAAAAATGGTATCATTCTGTTCGTAGTCCCTGCAACTTGCTTTTTCACTCAGTGTTACGTATCAAAGATTAATCTCTGGTATTTTGTTTAACCATAGTTCAGTTATCTTTGTTTTCCAGGGTTTTTGCTGTTTAGACAATGAACATTCCTGTACCACTCAATACCTGTGTGCAAGTTGTTAACATTTAGCTATTATCTGCTTCGTTTCTCCCTTTTCTTTTCCCTCTGAACCATTTCAAGGAAAGTTACATTATTTACCCTTGAACACTTCGGCACAGGTCTTTCAACAATTAGATTTGCACTGATGAGACAGACTCAGTATGGTTATGATTCGTTATTTTTGATTCCCCCTGGATTCCATTTGCTGATATTTTAGGATTTTTGCATCTATGTTTGTGAATGATACTGGCTAATAATTTTCTTCTCTCGTACTGTTCTTATTTTGCTTTTTGCTTTTTTTTGATGGAGTCTCACTCTTGATGCCCAGGCTGGACTACAATGGCACGACCTCAGCTCACTACAACCTCTGCCTCCCCGGTTCAAGTGATTCCGCCTCAGCCTCTCGAGTAGCTGGGATTACAGGCAGCCACCACCACGCCTGGCTAATTTTTTGTATTTTTAGTAGAGATAGGGTTTCATCATGTTGGCCAGGCTGGTCTCGAACTCCTGACGTCAGGTGATCCACCCACCTCCCAAAGTGCTGGGATTACAGACATTTGCCACCATGCCCGGCCTTATTTTGCTTTTTTATTAGCGATATACTGGCTTGTTGGATGAGTTGGCTTAATGTTCCCTCTTTTTTAGTTTTTTAGATAATTTTTTTTTTTTTTTGAGACAGTTTCACTCTTGTTGCCCAGGCTAGAGAGCAATGGCGTGAAGTTTTTTTTCTTGGTGGTGGTGGTGGTGGTGTTTTTTGAGACAGAGTTTTGCTCTTGTTGTCCAGGCTGGAGTGCCAGTGGCATTATCCCAGCTCACTGCAACCTCTGCCTCCCGGGTCAGGTGATTCTCCTGCCTCAGGGTCCCCAGTGGCTGTGATTACCAGCACCCGCCACCACGCCTGGCTAATTTTTGTATTTTTAGTAGAGATGGGGTTTCACTATATTGGTGAGGCTGGTCCCAAACTCCTGACTTCAGATGATCTACCTGCCTTGGCCTCCAGAGTGCTGGGATTACAGGCATGAGCCACTGTGCCTTGCCAACTGTCTTTCTAATGTAAGGTTTTAAATTTCAAGCAAAGCACTGCTTTTAGTATGTCTTACCCGGTTAATTTGAAGGAGTTTCGTTTTGTTCACTTCTAAGTATTTTTTATTTTTCTATTATGGTTTTTCTTTTGTCTATGCATTATTTAGAAGTATTTGTTATGTCCAAATATGTTAGAATATATTTATTTCCTTTTTTCTATTTTAACTGGTTTCTGACTCTTGCCTCCTGATCAGAAAGAATTCTAAGTGAAACTAACTCTGAAATTTATTCAAACTTGTATTTGTTCCCTAAAAAAAAAATCACATACTTGATGGCTTTAAACTACAGAAATGTATTGTCTCAGTTCTGGAGGTCCAAAAGCGGTATCGCCCGGCTGACATCGGTGTCAACAGGGCCACCTTCCCTCCACAGGCTCTTGGGGACAATCCATTCCTTAATGCCTCCAGCATCTGGTGCCTGCCAGCATCCTTTGGTTTGTGGCCCCATCATTCTGATCGCTGATGGGGCCACAAACTTCTCCTCCTGTTCCCCTCTCTTTTAAGGATATATGTGATTGTATTTAGACCCCACTAGGATCCAGGATAATCTCCCCATCTTAAAATCCTTAACTTAATCATATCTATTAATACTTTTTTTTTTTTTTTTTTTTGAGGCGGAGTTTCGCTCGTTACCCAGGCTGGAGTGCAATGGCGCAATCTCGGCTCACCGCAACCTCCGCCTCCTGGGTTCAGGCAATTTTGCCTCAGCCTCCTGAGTAGCTGGGATTACAGGCACGCGCCACCATGCCCAGCTAATTTTCTGTGTCTTTAGTAGAAACAGGGTTTCACCACGTTGACCAGGATGGTCTCGGCCTCCCAAAGTGCTGGGATTACAGGCGTGAGCCACCGCGCCTGGCCTTTTTCTTTTACTATTTGGCATAGAGGGTGCACTCACAAGTTCCGGGGATTAAGGTATATATACCTTTTGGGAGCCACTTTTCAGCCTACCACAATGGTCAAGTTAGAAATTTTTCTACCTGTGCTTGGGCAGAATATATATTCTCTAATTGTTGGGTAAGGGTTCTATCTTTGCCCCTGTCTCTTCTCACCTAATTTTTAAAACATAATATCAGTTTGGAGCCAGGTGTGGTGGTGTGTGCCTATAATCCCAGCTACTCAGGAACCTGAGGCAGGAGGATCACTTGAGCCCAGAAGTTCAAGACCAACCTGAGCAACATAGGGAGGAGACCCAATCTCAAAAATATAGAAAGCAAAACCCAGATTTTCTAAAAAAAAAAAAAGACATATGCATTCTTAGCATTGTAAGTAAGAATTTGTATTATATTAATAATTTATCTTAATTTTTGACCTCAGAGTCATCAAGTAACATACCTGGGCTGTAATCATGGCAGGTTTATAAATCTGCACAGGCTTCTTCCTGTGTCCCATGACATGGACCCCTCATTTGTTTGTTCATTCCTTCATTCCTTCCTTCATTCCTTCCTTCATTCATTCATTCAGCATTTATTATTCAACAACATTTATATCAGTGTGTGCAGGTGTGTTGTAGAAGCTTGGGCCCAAAAGTGAATAAGACGCAGTGTATGTGCTCACTGAGCTCACTATTACTGTAGGCAGGCAGATATTTTTTAAATGATAAGTAATGTGTCGAGTAGATATGCTTTGTAAAAACAAAGAGGACAGAGATGACGGGTGAGGTGAGGGTGCGGTGGTGAGGGAACACGTGGGCCACTTGTAGATTGGATGGTCAGGGAAGACCTCTGACATCTCAGTGGAGACCTGAGTGAAGTGAGAGTGCAAGCTGAACACTTAATTTGGAAAAAAAAAAAAGAGTTCCAGGCCAAGAGATCCATGAGGCTCTGAGGTCATATTGTCCCTGGAATGTGGGAATCAAAAGTAGAGGGAGCAATAGGGAAAAGTTTAGGAGATGAACAGGCCAGACAGCAGGTCCTGCTGGGCCCCTCGGTAAGGGCTTTGAACCTCAAATAAGCCAAGAAGGTAAAATGTTAAACCATAGATCTGTGAAGCCATTTTTATAAGGAACTAAAGTAACGGTCTCACTCTAAGAATATTAAAACATAATTCAGGGTATATACAGAATATGTATTTCTGTCTTACGTTAATATTTCACTGTGTTTCTTCTCTGTATACAGGTTTGTGTGGCCCAGGGCATATACAGTTATCATCATTATATGCAGGATCGGATAGATGACAGTGGCTGGGGCTGTGCTTATCGATCTCTGCAGACCATCTGCTCTTGGTTCAAACATCAGGGATACACAGAGAGGTCCATTCCAACACACAGAGAAATTCAGCAGGTACAGAACACACCACTTTAAATTACAATCGACTGTACATTTCATTAGCCTTCAATATTACATCGATGATTTTGTTACCTCATGGCGCAGACTTACTGCTGTTTTGAAGAAAAAATTACTCTTTTACTGGTAATCAGGGGAAATGCCCTAAATATAGTTTTTAATAGCTGTCTTGTGTATGGATTTTTTATATTTTTAAACACACGAAGGCTCTAGTCGATGCCGGCGACAAACCAGCAACATTTGTCGGATCACGGCAATGGATTGGATCTATTGAGGTACAGCTGGTCCTAAACCAATTGATTGGCATCACTTCAAAAATCCTGTTTGTCAGGTAAGGACACTTTAGAAATTAGATTATTTCAAAGTGACAGTCTCTCATTTTCATTAAAATAATAGAACAACGGTGTCTTCCCTTATTTTTATTCCTTTCCCTTCTTCCTTATTACCTCATTGCTTTATAAATCTCATTTTTTTAACCTTAATTTTTTTCAATTTTTTTTTTTTGGAAGGCTCTGAGTTTACAAATAAACTTTGTGATGTAATGTATACTTGCATTATCTAGGCCTAATTTTAGCCTAGAAAAGGAAACCTTAAAAATAGATTAACATTGAGTAAAGTCATAAAAATTCTATTAACAGTTTCTTTGTGCTCCAGTCTTTTCAGAAGCTTGAGTTAAATGTTGATCTACGACTGACCTTTTTGTTTACCTCCTGCTCTTTTTCTTCCTAAGATGTTAACAATCCAGTAATATGTCCAAATAACGTATTCATTTTATCTTTTTAAATGTATCTTAACCATAATTCTCATATTAAAATGAGAAACTGTAAATAAATTAAACGTCATTTTCTATGATCATAACCACCTTACTCCTGATTGTATGAGCTTGTTTTAAAATACATTTTCTTAAAAAAAAGAAACAAAAAAACAGAATGCATTTTCTTTTTCTTTTCTTCTTTTTTTTTTTTTTTGAGACAGAGTTTTGCTCTTGTTACCCAGGCTGGAGTGCAATGGCGCGATCTCGGCTCACTGCAACCTCCGCCTCCTGGGTTCAGGCAATTCTCCTGCCTCAGCCTCCTGAGTAGCTGGGATTACAGGCACATGCCGCCATGCCCAGCTAATTTTTTGTATTTTTAGTAGAGACGGGGTTTCATCATGTTGACCAGGATGGTCTCGATCTCTTGACCTCGTGATCCACCCGCCTCGGCCTCCCAAAGTGCTGGGGTTACAGGCTTGAGCCACTGCCCCCGGCCATAAAATGCATTTTCTATAGTTAATTATAGTCACATTGTCCTCATTGTATCAGTACCCAGTGGTTATGGAAATCTGTGGTAAAAAATGACAGACTGGCCGGGCACGGTGGCTCACGCCTGTAATCCCAGCACTTTGGGAGGCCGAGGTGGGTGGATCAGGAGATCAGGAGATCAATACCATCCTGGCCAACATGGTGAAACCCTGTCTCTACTAAAAATACAAAAAGAGCGAGACTACGTCTCAAAAAAAACCGAAAAAACCCGGGACCTCCTTTATGCAGTTCGAGAAGCAGCAGATCAAGGTCTTCTAGCTTCTTTCATAGCACACTTAGTGGCCTTAAGTATTTAGAATTTATGTTGCCTTAAATTGCAAGGTTTAATTGCTCTCTCAGTTCCCTACCACTTAATTTTATTTATTTGCATTTATATATTTTTTCAATAACCCAGAAAAGAAAATAATTTTTTGTCTCCTAGCTCATTATTTGACCTTAGTGTTGAAAGTAGTTCATCTGATAGAAAATGGTTTCTTTCTAGCCAAGGTTCAGAAATGGCCTCTCAAGGACGGGCACTGGCTAATCATTTCCAAAGCGAAGGAACTCCAGTTATGATTGGTAAAGTGTTTCAGACATCTTTTTTGGTAGAGTGAGTAGTATGTAAAACTTACTAATATAAATATTTAATGTTGCATAAAAGCAGTCATTTCAAAAGTTTTGAAATTAACTTTTACACCATATGTATGGATCTCTGGATATTGAAAAAAACGTCCAAGGTGGCTTAAAGGTTAAAAAAAAAAAAAAACATTATAATAACCAGAAGAAGTAAAGGCTGAGAAATGGTAGCTATGTTCAAATAATTAAAGAGCTGAGAGCAGTATTGAAAAGAGGAGGCGGTCCAGCTGAGCTTCATAAGTCATGACTTTGTCACTAATGCTGGCTTTGTGACATTTTACAAATTACTTACCTCTCTGGATTTTATTTGCAAAATAAGAAGATTGAATTAGCTGATCTAAAGCTGCATAATGTGAAGAACAAGACCTGTCCTGTGATGACAGAAGGCACGCTGAGACTAGTGTGTAAGAAATAGAGGCAGAAGTCAGGTAAAATGACTCACACCTGTAATCCTAGCACTTTGGGAGGCCAACGCAGGAGGATAGCTTGCATCCAGGAATTCGAGACTGGCCTGGGCAACATGGCAAGACCTCGTCTCTTCCAAAAAATATATATATAAATTAGCCAGCATGGTGGCGTACGCCTGTAGTGCCAGCTGCTTAGGAGACTGAGAGGGGAGGATTGCTTGAGCCCCGGAAGTGGAGGCTGCCATGAGCCAAGATCATTCCACTGCTTTCCAGCCTAGGTGACAAAAGTGAGACTGTCTCAAAAAAAAAAAAGGGAAATGGAGGCTGATGTCAGCAAAATATCAGAAAGAACTTAATGAGTAGGTCAGGGCCCAGTAGCTCACACCTGTAATCCCAGTATTTTGGGGGGCTGAGGCAGGTGGATCGCTAGAGGCCAAGAGTTCAAGACCAGCCTTGCCAATATGGCAAAACTCTGTCTCTACTAATAATAGAAAAATTAGGCAGGTGTGGTGGCGCACACCTGTAATCCCAGCTACTTGGGCAGCTGAAGCAAGAGAATCGCTTGAGCCCGGAGGTAAAGGTCGCAGTGAGCCAAGATCTCCCACTGTACTCTGGGTGACAGTGCAAGACTCTGTCTCAAAAGAAAAAGAGTAGAGTGCTGTGTCACTGGAGGTGCTCAGGCAGCAGGACCATCTGCCGAGAGAAGCAGCACAGCAGGGACTGTTGCTCTGTTGGGAACAGTTTACGGCCCTTTCTAAATCCAGTTTAGGTAACTATATGGATATGACGGTGGAATATACCTTTTATGTGATTATAGATATGACTGTATCTTTTATGTGTTAAAGCTGTCATTGTATCCATTCACAGTATATCTGACATTGTGGTCCATTTAATGCTATTTCAGATCAGTTAATAGGCAAAGTAATCTGTCTTTTTCAATTGAATAAGCATTTGACATTTGTTGATACCTTATTTGTATTTCCTCTTTCTTCTGTAGGGGGAGGAGTTTTGGCTCACACAATACTAGGAGTTGCATGGAATGAGATTACAGGGCAGATAAAGTTTCTGATTCTAGATCCACATTATACAGGCGCTGAAGACCTGCAAGTTATTTTGGAAAAGGTAAGTATCCATTTAACACAAATTGAGACACTCGGCAGAGAACCTAGAAAGGAAGGATCGCAAACTGGCTGGTAACAGAAAGACCCCAAGCCGAGGGCAGTGACCCTGCCTGGGATGAGGCTTTCTGAGGCTGTGGTTAGTAGGCCTCTGAGTAGGGAAGGTGCAGAACAAAGCACACTGCAAAAGACAAAATTTAGGTCAGAGTTTACAGAAACTCTCTCAGTTATTAAACTTAATAGTAGGACAAACACTTATATTCCTTTGGAGATTTTAGAGGTTTCATAAACAAATGTATCAAAGTTTAGCAATGTCTTAAAATAGATGAGTGGAATACATAAACTTCTGAATTTCAGAATGAACCAGAAGATAGCTAAGCGGTATGCTAGACATTATGGAGGCTTGAGTAACTTTATTCACATATAACCTGATCTCATTCTATAAAGGGTTTGAAGTTATACATATTTGAGAGCATCTGTTCTTACTTACAATAGCAGATAGAGGAGGTAAAAATTGTTCATTCATAGTTAACCAATTCTCACATATGAAAACTCAGTACCAAGTCTTTTGGAGAAAGTACTGTAAAACATAATGAACTAATTTTAAGTAACATTTATATTCTTTGCCAAATACACTGAAATTGCAGAAAATACATACAATACAAAATGTTTTAATATGTTAGAGTTTTTGGCAGAGCATGGTGGCTCACACCTGTATTCCCAGCACTTTGGGAGGCCAAGGCGGGCGGAACACCTGAGATCAGGAGTTCGAGACCAGCCTGGCCAACATGATGAAACCCCGTCTCTACTAAAAAATACAAAAATTAGGCAGGACGCAGTGGCTCACACCTGTAATCCCAGCACTTTGGGAGGCCGAGGCCAGTGGATCACAAGGTCAAGAGATCGAGACTATCCTGGTCAACATGGTGAAACCTCGTCTCTACTAAAAATACAAAAAATTAGCTGGGCATGGTGGCGCATGCCTATAATCCCAGCTACTCAGGAGGCTGAGGCAGGAGAATTGCCTGAACCCAGGAGGCGGAGGTTGCAGTGAGTCGAGATCGCGCCATTGCACTCCAGCCTGGGTAACAAGAGCGAAACTCCATCTCAATAAAAAAAAATACAAAAATTAGCCGGGCATGGTGGCGGGTGCCTTGTCATCCCAGCTATTCAGGAAGCTAAGGCAACAGAATTGCTTGAACCTGGGTGGTGGACATCGCGGTGAGCCGAGATCGTGCCATTGCACTCCAGCCTGGGTGACAAGGGCGAAACTTCATCCCAAAAAAAAAAAAAAAGTTTTTACTGTGTGTAGTCCAACTCTCTCATAGCCTCAGTATACTAAAGTCTCTTGTTTACAATAAGAGTAAAGACTAACAGGATAGAAATGTGCTGTTACAGTTTTAAGTGTTTTCTATTTCCTTGCTTTCCTCTTTTACAACATTTGGAATTTGAAGTCTATGAAAGGTTTTTGACGGGTACACGTATCTTACTGAATATACTAGCGATATTCCTGTTCTGTAGCAAGGTGTTCATTCATTGTTTATTAAGTACCTCATCAATGCCAGGCACTGTCCTAAGCACTAGCGGTATTAGAAGAGGTTTTTAGGGAGCTAAACACTTTTAGTGTAGGACAGAAAAGGATTCCAAAAAGGACTCTCAATTTAAAAAATGCTATCGGGTGGGTTCACGAGGCCGATCTATAGCGGCACCCTGTAGAAGCAGTGGAAGCCGCACTCCAGGTAGATGAATGTGTCCAGAGCTAGGTGAAGAGGTGAGGCTGGAAGGACACGCCAAGCTCAGTCAAAATGGGTGGTCTTTGTGAGCAGGCGTTTAGATTTTTTTTAAAGGCAGGGAGAAGTCTTAATTATTTTCATCATAAAATTTCTCTTTTCTGGTTGGCTCAAGGGGCTCTGCACTAGACGGGGTTATCTAGATAAGGTTTCTGAACAATTAGAGTAAGGGGTCGTCCCTGATCCCTTTCTCTGAGAATTGCAATCTCCAATTTGCTAGTTCTGTTTCTATGGAACTTTACAATAGCAGAAACCTCCTTGCTCTATTTGTATACACAAGAAACTATGAAGCCAACGTCCTGCCATTAGAACTACTGATTCACTTGACTCCAAGACCCCAGCAGGCGAGAGGAGAGTCCATCTCTGCCTGACCTCTTTACCCTCCTGTGGCGCTTTCCTGTTTGAAGTTCCCAGGCTGGTCATTTCACAGGAAAGAAGCATGTGCCAAGCACTGTCACCCTGTACAATCCCATTCTGACACCCTCTCTACCCATTTCTCCTTTAAAAAGTTTAGATCTGGCTACCTGGACAAGGCCTTTAGGTGTAAAAGGATCAAAAAATGGTTAAAGGCTGGGCGTGGTGGCTCACGCCTGTAATCCCAGCACTTTGGGAGGCTGAGGTGGGTGGATCATGTGGTCCGGAGATTGAGACCATCCTGGCCAACATGGTGAAACCCTGTCTCTAGTAAAAGTACAAATATTAGCCGAGCATGATAGTGTGCACTGGTAGTCCCAGCTACTTGGGAAGGTGAGGCAGGAGAATCACTTGAACCTCGGGGGCAGATGTTGCAGTGAGCCGAGATCACACCACTGCACTCCAGCCTGGGCGACAGAGCAAGACTCCATCTCAAAAAAAAAAAAAGTTGAAACAGAGATAGTATGAGTCTTTTTGGTATTTGTCTGTTAAGAAAACAGATTTTAGGACATTAAATTCATAGACAAAGTTTTGCTGAAAGAGATGATAAATAGAGTATTGGTTACCTAGGGAGAGTGGGAGGTAGGACTAGGGGAGGATTTTTTTACTTTTATCTTTTCTTTTTTTTTTTTTTTTTTAACAACGTGTATCTTATTTAGGAAGGAGTCAGGCCACTGCTTGTCACTCACTGGGTGGTATTTTCAGAATCCTCAGCTAGCCTCCTCGCAGGGATTTCTTGAAGCATTTCATTTGAGAATCATATAATACAGACCAGTTACTGATATTTTCTTCAAGTTTTCTTCTTTAATAACTCAGTGGCCCTAGAAGAAATCTGAGAACTTTTCATACTCTAAATGACATTTTGTTTGAAAGTAATTTTTCTGCTGGCGAAAAGGATGAATACTGACGTGAAGCATAGAAAGTACAATTGAGTAGTACTTGGGATTTGAAAATGAAAGGGCACAGAGTGCCAGGCATGGGCAAGTTGAGGTTCTCACTACCATGTTTCAGTCCTAAGATGCCACTGAATGCTGTTGCACTCCTTAATGGACTGTGAAGAGAATCAGACTGGCAGTTCACCTGTCACATGCTGTCAGTTGCAAGTGGTAAAACTATACCTCTCACATCAGTAAAGTGTGGTATCTGGAGTAACAGTTACTATAAGTAAGTTTTTCTTTTTAAATGACTTTTATGATGAATTATTTAGAATTAAAATAATAGAGACTTAAAAGTTCAAAAATCTACCGCAAAGGGACCCAGGTAAGTTACTTTTCTATGCCTAGTAGGAATTCAAATCCTTCAATGGTAAAGGCATTCAGAGGCTTCCTCCAAGGTCCTGCTGGCAGAGTGTGATGTCATAATTTCCATGACCTCATCTTGCAACTTTATAAAAGACTTTCCTTTCCCTTCTCCCCTATCCAGGGCTGGTGTGGATGGAAGGGCCCAGACTTTTGGAACAAGGATGCATACTATAACTTATGTCTTCCTCAGCGACCAAAGATGATTTAAAATATATTAGATCGAAGACTGCAGTAGAGTGGTATTAGAAATTTGTGAATAAGAATCAGTTTAATTTCACATTAAATCCTGGTTCTAGTTTGACGGTTTAAACTATGACCTTTTTCAAAGGTTGTAAATACTACACGGAGAATGTATTTTTCAGACATCCCTTTAATAACTTAAAAGACAAAGCATACAATCCAGCATATTATAGGCATGTAAATACATGTGTTCTTAAACGGATCTTCACTTGGAAGAAAGGATTTCCTCCTTCTCAGAAGGAGTTTAGACACACATGGTAAGCCAAAAGCTGCAGCTTATAGGTCTGCATGAAATGAAGGCGTTTCTTCAGACTTCTTCATAACCCACGTGACATCTGTTTTTAAAAAACATACTAACATTAAAAACTTTTTTAAAAAAGAGATTTATCATAGGCTGGGCACGGTGGCTCACGCCTGTAATCCCAGCACTTTGGGAGGCCAAGGCGGGTGGATCACGAGGTCAAGAGATCGAGACCATCCCGGTCAACATGGTGAAACCCCGTCTCTACTAAATATACAAAAAACTAGCTGGGCATGGTGGGGCGTGCCTGTAATCCCAGCTACTCCGGAGGCTGAGGCAGGAGAATTGCCTGAACCCAGGAGGTGGAGATTGCAGTGAGCCGAGGTCACGCCATTGCACTCCAGCCTCGGTAACAAGAGCGAAACTCCGTCTCAAAAAAAAAAGAGAATTTTATCCCCAAACTTTACCATGCGGGCGCATTTTTGGTCTCTAGACTCTAGTAAGTATAACCAGGATTACAATGTTAATAGAATAATAAATGCTGTGCACGCAAGCGATCACGGAGGGAGGAGAAAAGCGGCAGCTCGGAGTTACTTACCAACACTTCCTTTTCCCACTGATATTTTCTGCACTTCCAAAACTTCGTTTCTGTCTGAAAACAGGAACACAGTCATCTCTATCACAGTGTTCACTTGCTTTTCTTGTCTGTGCACGTTTAATTGTTGTAAGAAACTTGGCACATTCTGGAAATCCACACGACCAAGCGAGGTCTTCAGCTGTTTGCCCGTTCTTATTACATAAACTGAAAATATGATAAAAATTGATTTAAATGAAAAATTGAACTTCTGAAGTGTTTTTTTAATATCTTACAAAGGAATTTTGGGTTCATACAAATGAGCAGTATTAGACAGCACCAACAGCCTAAGTTAACATTTAAATGACAACACTAAATTGCCAATTAGGCAAGCATTATTTTTGAAAGCACATGTAACTATGTTTCAGGAGTCTGATTATTTAATCCAAGAAAACATAGAATGTGAAGCCACTGATGTCATACTCACTCAATCCGGGCATCACTGGCTACCAGCAGGCTGAGGCACTCCAGGCTTCCAACCTTTGCTGCCTTGTGTAGTGGAGCTTCTCCTAAAACATCCTTAAGGTAAGACAGTGCATTTTAGAGTCTCCCAAAAATATTTTCTTAAGGAAGTTGGTGAATAGCATCTAATATTAGCTATTTAAGAAAGCTACTTAGAATTGCATTGTATGGACTGAAATTTTAATTCAAGCTCTTTTTTTTTTTTTGTAAGCTGTAAAAGCTTTTTACTTTTTGATAAGTTTAGTTTACTTTTTCATACAGTTTTCATTAATAAAAATATGTGTGGCCTGGTGCCGTGGCTCATGCCTGTAATCCCAGCACTTCAGGAAGCGGGTAGATCACCTAAGGTTAAGAGTTTGAGACCACCCTGGCCAACATGGTGAAAGCACATACCTACTAAAAATACAAAAATTAGCTGGGTGTAGTGGTGTGCACCTGTGATTCCAGCTGCTAGGGAGGCTAAGGCAGGAGAATCACTCAAACCCGGGAGGCAGAGGTTGCAGTGAGCCGAGATCACACCATTGCACTCCAGCCTGGGCGACAAGAGCCAAACTCCATCTCAATAAACAAACAAATAAATAAAAACCTGTAGCCATATCCACATACATTAAAATGTAAGCAAATGAAAACAGCTGTCCCAGAAAAGTTTACAATTTAAAATTCCCATGCTTAAATATTTAATGGAAGATGCAAACTGCAGTAAGAAGGTTCTTTAGGAAATTAGAATGGTTGTGGACATATCTCACAAGTATTTAAATTGCTGCAGGGAGACTTGGGAATATAGCAATTACTTCTTTTGAAATAAACTGTAGATCTATGCTGTTCAATAAGACAGTCAACAGCCACTTAAAGCTATAGTATTTGAAATGTGGCTAGTCTGATTTGTGATAGGCTATCACAGCAAAATGTGAAGACACAGAATAAAAGAAAACCTAAAAGAATCTAATCAGAAATTGCTTTATGTTGATTACATATTGAACTGATAATATTTTGATTTTTCTGTTTTTATTGAGACAGTCTCACTCTGTCACCCAAACTGCATCCAGTGGTGTGATCTCTGCTCACTGCAAACTCTGCCTACCAGGTGCAAGCACTTCTCCTGCCTCACCCTCCCCAGTAGCTGGGATTACAGGTACCTGCCACCATGCCTGGCTAATTTTTTTCTATTTTTAGTAGAGACGGGTTTCTCCATCTTGGCCAGGCTGGTCTTGAACTCCTGACTTCAGGTGATCCTCCTGCCTTCTCCTCCCAAAGTGCTGGGATTACAGGCATGAGCCAATGCACACAGCTGTGAATTGGTAATATTTTGGACCAATCGGATTACATTACTAAAATTTCATGTTTCATTTCACATTTTTAATGTGGCTACTTAAAAATTTGAAATTCCTCATGTCCTCACATCAAAGCTGGGAAAAAAAAAAAAAAATTTTAAATTATATCTGTCGGCCAGGAACGGTGGCTCACGCCTGTAATCCCAGCCCTTTGGGAGGCCAAGGCGGGCGGATCAGGCGGTCAGGAGATCAGACCATACTGGCCAACATGGTGAAACCCTGTCTCCACTAAAATACAAAAAAAAAAAAAAATCAGCCGGGCGTGGGACATGGTGGCGCATACCTGTAGTCCCAGCTATTTGCGAGGCTGAGGCTGCAGCGAACTGAGATCGCGAGATCAGACCATACTGGCCAACATGGTGAAACCCTGTCTCCACTAAAATACAAAAAAAAAAAAAAATCAGCCGGGCGTGGGACATGGTGGCGCATACCTGTAGTCCCAGCTATTTGCGAGGCTGAGGCTGCAGCGAACTGAGATCGCGCCACTGCACTCCAGCCTGGCGACAGAGCAAGCCTAGGTCTCAAAAAAAAAAAAAAAAAAATTAGAGGCCGGGTGTGGTGGCTTACGCCTGTAATCCCAGCACTTTGGAAGGCCGAGATGGGTGGATCACCTGAGGTTGGGAATTCAAGATCAGCCTGTCCATCATGAAGAAACCCCATCTCTTTAAAAAAAAAAAAAAATTACATTTATGTCTTGCATTCTATTTCTATTGGACATCACTGCTATAGACACGTTTATAACAGCTGAAACAAACAGGTGTTCTTGGTGTCTGAGAAATGTTTGTGTGGATCTGGGAGGGAGGGGAGAGCTGTACACAGCAACAATCAGTTACCTAGTTACCTGCTGGTTGAGGTCAGCGCCCGTTTGCAGCTGCCAGAGAAGAAAGCAAGCAAGGCCGCCTCCTGCGGCTAAGTGGACAGGCGACTGCTTGCAGGGATCCGGGGGTGCGTTGACCGAGGCCCCTTTCTCTAGCAAATACTTAAGACCATCCACCTGCGGGAAGAGAACAGATCCAGCACCCCTCTCACTTTTGTCCAGTCCCGCGCCCCTCCGGCTGGAAAATACCCCCGACTTCAAAACCAGCTCTGTCGAGGCGTGACCAGACAGCGACCAGTGGCCAGTCCCCGCGTTCCCGAGAAGAGGCGTCTTGAAGCTTGAGCCTGCAGGACAAAAGCTCGAGCTCTGTGAGCCCAAGTCTTACCTCTGGGTTGCAATCGTGGAACTGCATTTCCCGCCTACGGGAGATGACAAAAATCCTTAGGAGCGCAGAGCGGCGGGACACTCGCCGCACCCCGGCAGGTAAGAGTACGCGGTCCCGCCCTAGCACGGAAGAATTTAAATACCACTGGGACTTGCGACCCAGCCCTTGAACAGCTAATCCACAACAACCTGGACCTGGTCCAGCCCTGGAACGGCAGCACGTACACAAACACTGGCACGTGGAGCCCGGCGCCGGGGGCGGGGAAAAGGGGCGGGCACGCGAGGCCATCCACCGATTGGCCAGCTGTGGAGGCGCCGGGCCCGCCCGCCTAGGGGCGGGGCCCGCGGCCGCCCCACGTAGCTTCAGCGCGCGTGCGCAGGGCAAGTCAGTGGGCGGAGGGGCACTGGAGTCGGGGTGGGTGGGGTTCCGCGGCCGCCATGAGGCGTGCTGAGTTTGACACGTCTCCCGGTAACGGGCCCGCCCTTTGATCCTTCTGGAGAAGCGGGAGTTTCGGCCGCAGCTTTTGGCTCTGCCTGCGCGCACGTAACCAGGAAACGGGAGCCACAGGCAGCTCCCGGCGCCGGGGAACGCAAGTTCCTTTACCTCGCGCGCCGTCACCCTCCTCCCAACCCGGGAAGTGGAGGCAGGGGCGACGGGCCCGAGCGACAGCGGCCGAGCCCGGCCCGCCCAGGGACCCGTGTGGAGGGGCCCTCAGGGAGAGGCCGCTGACGCTGGGGCCGTCACGCCGGTGCATGCCGGGCGCTCCTCCGCGAGAGCGGACCCGGCCGCGTGCCATTGAGACCCGCGGGGCTGGCGCCGTCGGGCGTGCGTGCGTGACCTGACTTCCGACGGCAGCCGCGGACGCCAGAGCTGCTCCCTGGGCTCGCCCTAAGCCTCTCCAGGAGGATCTGCCTGGAGACCACAACTCCGCCGAGTGTTTCTTTTCCCTGCATTTTTAGTGATTCCCTCCTGTTGGTGCGTTTGTAACATCATGATGATGAATGATGTTAGAAGACAAGCTCAAGCTTGTCCTCCAAAGATAACGGTCTTTCTGATTTTGGGTTTGTAGTAAGAGCCATACAATTTGCAATTGCAAGTTTGTTATTACACTTAGTTACCCAAGGGTAGTTTTAAGCATTTTTATTCATATGAATATTTTAACATAAGTGTGTGTTCAAATATACAGAATCTTTCTTATATTCCGTATTTTTAACATTTATTCACAATACCTTTTAATAGTGTTTAAAGAATGGCACTGCAGAGATACTGTTGTCAGACTTGTGAGGTGAGCACATGTCCGTATTGCCAGTTTCCCTTTCGTTTATCAAATCAGTAAGCACCCTGCCTTTTGTTTAATTGTACTTTAGGTTCTGGGGTACATGTGCAGATCATGCAGGATTGTTGCATAGGTACACACATGGCAAGGTGGTTTGCTGCCTCCATCCCCCCATCACCTGTATCTGGTGTTTTCTCCCCTCATTATCCCTCCCCACCCTCCTACCCCATGTATTTGAGCTCCAGGTTTGCACAGAAGTTCCTTTTCAGGAATTCCTAACTAAGAAAGAGTATCAGACACGTTCTTAGAGTTCTGAACATAAATATTGCACTGAGCTTATGTACTGGGATGTTTCTGTGGTGAAAGCGCCTCCCTATTTCATTTCTTTGAAACAAGATTCTGTTCAGTATGCATTAAGTCTGGTCGTTTTTTTAACTTCCTGTTACATATGCGAATTCCATAAGGAAAAGAAGCTTCGGGAGCCATGACAGCGTTTCTCCCTTTAGCCACAGCCAACTTGTCCATTGCTCACATTGTTTTCAGGAAAAAAGTTACATCTCAGCTGGATATCTGACTCATGGTTAGTAATGGGCCTAGAAACTATAAACGGAACAAAGCTCTTAGTGCACAAAAACATGATAAGTACATTTGGGGACAGTATCCTACTGGCAAGTAACTGGAGTTTCACCAGGCGTGTAGCACGTGGGATCAGTTTTCTAAAAAGGAAGATGATCTAAGATGCATATTCAATAGGCGTTCTCATAAGCAGTGCTGATTTTACATGTTTTAATTGCTGGTAGATGTGTTTCCAGAATGAGGATGCCATTTAGAGTGTTTAAAAAAAAATGTCGGATGATGTGTAAATGACCAAATAAATGAGAGATGTGTGGGCTGAGTCTTGAGGGGTAAGAGTCTGCTAAATAGTCCCAGCAGGGAGGAGTATTTCTAAGAAGTGAGAAATATCTTCCAGTATTGACAGCGCTATGTGTGGTTCAGGCTAGGGCAGTGGATTCACACACCACAGTGCTGGGAAATAGGGAGAGGCTGACACGTGAGAAAGTGTTAACCACTAACGTCTCTTCCAGTTTATTATATTACAAATGGACATTCATGGAGCACTTGTGCCTCAAGATTAATGCTGATAAGTATTACCTACATTTTACAGAAAAGGAAATTGAGGCTTAGGGAGCTCTATTAACTTGTCATGTAATTATTAGAAGGTAAATTAGAATTTGAACTCAGTTTGACTCCAGAGCCCACATTCTTATACCTATATGTTTAAAGAATTTTGGTCACCTCTGGTAAATTCAGGCTACTAAGATTGGTTTCTATCATGCAAACTAAAGCCTTTTTTTTTTTTTTTTTTTTTTTTTTTTTTTCTGAAACGGAGTCTCGCTCTGTCACCCAAATTGGAGTGCAGGGGCGTGATGTCAGCTCACTGCAACATCCGTCTCCCGGGTTTTAGCGATTCTTGTGCCTCAGCCACCCAAGTAGCTGGGATTACAGTTGTGTGCCACTACACCTAGCTAATTTTTGCATTTTTAGTAGAGTCGGGGTTTCACCATGTTGCCCAGGCTGGTCTTAAACGCCTGACCTCCAGTGATCCACCTGCCTCCGTCTTCCAAAGTGCGGGGATTACAAGCATGAGCCACCACACCTGGCCGAAAAAGAAAGTCGTCAAAGGACATTATTATAATCCATAGAAAAACAATTTTGTCATTTAGTAATGACTGTTAAGGTAGCCTTGTTCCTGGAATTGAATCTCCCACAATACCAAACCTAGTACTTCCTGTTCAAGTAATTACTCTGGAATAAGTGAATTGTGCCCGGTGAAAATTATTAGACGTAGTTGGTGGAACCAATAAGCTAATTTTTTTTTTTTTTTTTTGGAGACAGAGTCTGGCTCTTTTGCCCAGGCTGGAGTGCAGTGGCACGATCTCAGCTCACTGCAACCTCCACCTCCCGGGTTCAAGCGATTCTCCTGCTTCAGTCTCCCAAACAGCTGGGATTACAGGCACCTGCCACCACGCCCAGGTAATTTTTCTATTTTTAATAAAGACAGCATTTCATGTGTTGGCCAGGCTGGTCCTGAACTCCTGCCCTCACGATCCACCTGCTTTGGCCTCCCAAAGTGCTGGGATTACAAGCATGAGCCACCATGCCTGGCCACCAATAAGCTAATTTTATCTATTTCCTGCTTGCTGTGTTTTCCTGTTTCTTGTTGACTAAGAAAACACTGGAAAGCATTACCTGAATGCACAGCACTGAAGGCAGGAGTAATAGAGAATGCCCACTAACTCCCATTACCTCTCTTATAAACAGTAATTGGATTGTGTATGGTTAGTAACGCCATAGAAAAGTTTAGCTCTAAAGCAAGTGAAAGAGCATAAAGTGAAACTAAAGATCTCAGCAGCTGCAGTGGCTCACGCCTGTAATTCCAACACTTTGGGAGGCAGAGGTGGGCAGATCGCTTGTGGCCAGGACTTTGAGATCGGCCTGGCCAACAAGGCGAAACTGTCTCTACTACAAGTATAAAAATTAGCCAGGCGTGTGGTGCGTGCCTGTAATGCCGGCTACTTAGGGGGCTGAGGTGGGAGAATCACTTGAACCCAAGAGACAGAGGTTGCAGTGAGCCAAGATCATTGCCACCGCACTCCAGCCTGGGTGACAGAGTGAGGCCTCATCTCAAAAAATACTGAAAACTGAGTATCTCAATAGCTGGCCTGATTTCACATGTATTTCTTAAATCTCTTGTGAATATCATAACACCAAAGCATTGAAGTAACATGGATCAAGCATTTCTGAATATGATGTCTTGTTTATTACCATCCAGGTACCCATGATATATCAGTATTGACCAGAATCCAGTGAGCCTTAGAAGTAACAATATTTTTTTTTTTTTTTGAGACAGAGTTTCGCTCTCATTACCCAGGCTGGAGTGCAATGGCGCGATCTCGGCTCACCGCAACCTCCGCCTCCTGGGTTCAGGCAATTCTCCTGCCTCAGCCTCCCGAGTAGCTGGGACTACAGGCACGCGCCACCGTGCCCAGATGATTTTTTGTATCTTTAGTAAAGACGGGGTTTCACCATGTTGACCAGGATGGTCTCGATCTCTTGACCTCGTGATCCACCCGCCTTGGCCTCCCAAAGTGCTGGGATTACAGGCGTGAGCCACCGCGCCCAGCCTAGAAGTAACAATATTTTTATTAATAATTATATTATGGCAGTAATAGTTCTGTCCTTCATATACTGAAGGTGAAAATATTCCAAATATGAAAACTTTTCAAAGACTGAAGGTTTTAGCCAGATATGGAATTTCAACAGATTTTTAAAGTTTTTTTTTTTTTAAATCCACAGATTTAAAATGACTCGAATTAATCAGATATAATTCTGGCCTTCTTTGGCCACTGTCAAGAAATCTCTTACCCTAATGGTTGTAGAAACAGAAGGATTTCTCAAAAAGAAATCCTTTAACTTAAATTAAAGGACTAATTCCTCTTTAACGTAAATTCTTCCAGCCCTGATAACTCAAATATTTTGGGGAAGGTGATAAATTGTATGGTTATTCTAAACAACTGCTGCAACAGGATATTGTGGCAAAAAGTAAAGAGAAAGTATAGTTATCCTCTTTTGATGATGTTTAATTTCCTGAGCGCACATAATCAGAAGGGTTCCAGGGGTCTCAATGGTCACCATCTTTAAATGTCCACCTCTTCACTATGTACTAAGAACCTGGGGAAATTGAAAAGTATTTCATATTTTTGTTATTTCTCCTCCTGCTCCTATATTCCTCTCAATGACATCTGGAAATTACAGATGATAAATTTATAGAATTACATGAAGTAGAGAAAAAAGTAGAAAGTTAGTCCTTGATATTAAACTGATAGATGGGGGGAGCCAGGTTTCTTACTGTTGAAGAGGGAAGTAGAAAGACTAAAATGAGCCACGTGGTAATGGATTTGTCCACAATATCAGTAAGAATTCATAGTTAGCTCAATATACATTAAGATGTATAAAAGCAGAAGTAATTATAGGTGTGTGTGTATACGGGGGTTGGCAAATGTAGAGGGCCTAAAGCAGTGACACCCCGTAGCAATGAACCCACCTAGCACCAGATCTGGGTTTCTAATGCCATTCCCTAGTAAAAGAAACCGGGGCTCCTTGCAGAACTTGCTGATTCTAGGGCCGGGGCAGGGAAAATACAAGATGAGCCAGAGCGCGTTGTGTTCCAGAACGAGTCAGGAAATGCCCACAAGGCAAAAGGATGGGACATGTCAGAGCCAACCTGAAAGAGCTCCCAGTGGCCGAAACTGGAACAAACTCGTATACCGTTGGATTATAACTCAGTAAAATAGGTGTCCATGAGCCTGTACCGGTACAACAACTGAATGAATAAATAAATAAATGGGGACAGAAGACAGTGCTTCTTTACCAAAGAATTTCAGATACTTCATGTAGATATTCCCTGGTGAAGATGGATTCCTCCTCCAGCGCCTTCTTGAATGTGGGCTACACATAATGACTTGCTTCCAAAAAGCAGAGCATGGGGAGGGGAAAAAATAAGCGACTTTAAGTGGAGAAGCCTGTCAGATGCTGCCGTGGCCAGGTGACAGTTAACATCCTGGTGAAAAGTCCTGTTGATAGGATGTGGTATTCTTTGGTATTCTTCCCCCAAAACTCAGAACCCGGTCTAATCATGAGTAAAACAGATGAATGTTGATTGGGGGAACGTTCTATAGGACATACGGCTAGTATTCCTCAAAACTGTCAAGGTTATGAAAAACCAAGTTTGAGAAACTGTCACAGACCAGAAGACGCTGAGGAGACAGGACGACTCCTTCGTGCGGTAACTTGTATGGGATCTTGGCACAGAAAAAGGACAACAGTGAAAAAAATCGTAAAACCCTAATAAAGTATAGAGTTTTAGATCATTCTCATGAACCAATGTTGGTTTCTTAGTTGTGACAAACATACTATATAATGTAATGTTAACAGTGGGGGAAACCGAGGCAACACTCTGTAGTATCTTTGCAACTTTTCCATACATCTGAAATTACTGTAAAACATAAAGAGTATTTCCAAAAAGAGGAATTGAGGCCACTTAAAAAGTTCTCCCAGCCACAGAGCTCTCATGGCTGTCTGATCTGCTTACCCAGCACACCTCGTTTCCTCTAAGACATGCTGACTGCCTATTACACTGGCCATTGGAAGGCCTTGGGCATTCTCTAGGAGGGCAGTCGCTTGGGCTCACATCAGTTAGACTGTGTGCCTACCAAGAGTCAGTTTCTCCACACCCACAAGGATTATTCTAAAATGTAATTCAATTAATTTTTATTTTTGAGACCAAGTCTCTCTCTGTTATCCAGCTCACTGTAAGTTCTGCCTCCTAGGTTCAAGCAATTCTCCTGCCTCAGCCTCCCAAGTAGCTGGGTCTACAGGTATGTGCCACCGTGCCTGGCTAATTTTTTGTATTTTTAGTAGAGACAGGATTTCAGCATGTTGATCAGACTGGTCTTCAACTCCTGACCTCAAATGATCCACCCTCCATGGCCTCTCAAAGTGCTGGGATTACAGGCGTGAGTCACCGCACCCAGCCTCAATTAAATATATAACTGATGAGATATGAGTGAGACGTAAGAGATTGTAAGAAAATTAATGCTTTCCAAGTCAAGTCACTATGAAAAAATGTTTCCACGTAGATAAGAATAAGTCAGCTGTAAAAGATGAAGAACTCTGTACTCTGATTGTTTAAGGGCATTTTAAAATTTATACTCCATTTTAAAGAAACCTAATTGGGAATTCGTATGCCCACGGTTTATGCAAGAAAACTAAATTCTCACAGTTGAACACTACTTAAATCACTTCTGGCTCTACATGAAAAGATTGGGAAGTAACTATATTTTTTTACACGTTAAGTATAAAGTGCAAATGGTATTTATGGACACTCTTTTTAATCTCCACCGTCACTCTTGTTCAGCGGACCACCTGCCACTCCCGAGAATGCCAGACCAGGGGGCTACTGACGTACTTACCATGCAGACTGCTTCTTTCCCTTAAAGAATATAAGGACCGTAGATGAGCAGATACTAAGCTTGTCAGATAGAATTTGTATTGCCAATTGCACTTGCATAAAATTGGATAACTGAAAATGATTTACTAGATGATTTGAGACACTCAAAAGTTTGAAACTCAGTTTTTTGGTTTTTTTATTTTGAGACAGAGTCTTGCTCTGTCACTCAGGCTGGAGTACAGTGGCACGATCTTGGCTCACTGCAACCTCCACCTCCTGGGTTCAAGCAATTCTGAGTAGCTGGGATTACAGGCGCCCGCCAGCACGCCCAGCTGATTTTTGTATTTTTAGTAGAGATGGGGTTTCACCATGTTGGGCAGGTTGGTCTTGAACTCCTGACCTCGCGATCCACCCACGTCGGCGTCCCAAAGTGCTGGCATTGAGTGCAGGCGTGAGCCACTGCACCCGGCCTGAAACTCAGTTGTTTCTTTTCTTTTTCTTTTTTTTTTTGTTTGTTTGCTTTTTATTATGAAAACAAAACAAATGCCCCAGGAGAAGGGACCATGATTACCAGAAACATCACAGAGTACTTTCTACCATTTTTATTCTGTTGTGTTGAGGCCAGCATTGCAATAAACAAGCTAAAACTACTTACATTGGACTCATTTTCAGTAACTGACATTTACAAGAATATACTAGAAACGGCAATAAAGTTTTTTGTTTTTTTTTTTTGAGACGGAGTTTCGCTCTTGTTACCCAGGCTGGAGTGCAATGGCGCAATCTCGGCTCACCGCAACCTCCGCCTCCTGGGTTCAGGCAATTCTCCTGCCTCAGCCTCCTGAGTCGCTGGGATTACAGGCACGCGCCACCATGCCCAGCTAATTTTTTGCATTTTTAGTAGAGACGGGGTTTCACCAAATTGACCAGGATGGTCTCGATCTCTTGACCTCGTGATCCACCCGCCTTGGCCTCCCAAAGTGCTGGGATTACAGGCTTGAGCCACCGTGCCCGGCCCCGGCAATAAAAAGTTTAAGAAAAGTTACGGTAAACTTGCATGCACATCATACAGAAAAGTAACATTTTAAATATAAAAAAGAAAACCTTCCTGGAAGCCTTAGGCCAGTGTTAGAGAACTGCACTACACTGTATGTGACACATTCTTCATGTGGGGTGACTGTCAGAGGCAGGAGTGCTGCAAAAGAGCAAAACCAGAAACGAACACAAAGACACCGTGTCTTCCAGTTTGTGAGCAAGATGCCGCCGCCCTGCACGAAGAGGGCTCTGGAGTTCAGTTCACACCCGAAGCCTGCCCCCTCGGCTTCCAGGGGTCACTCAGAGCATTCCCAAATCCATCTCCCACACACGACTCCACGACTTGTCACTGCTCCTTTCCCCTTGAAAAAAGCACGTTAGAAGCTGCCCTACAGGTCTCAGCAGTGGGACAATCTAATTTGAATCACCACGGCCTTCTAATACAGAAGAAACGGAGGTGGCCGTCACCCTCAGCCCGCTGGCAAGGGCATTGAGGAAGACGTAAATCCTTCAAAACTCTGAAAAGAAACTAGTGTTGAAGTCTGGACAGAAAGCCTTAAAAAGGTGACCGCTGCAATGCAGCTGCTCAGTGTGCCCTTCGTGGGGTGTCAGGGTCAGCGGCTTCTAGACGAGAGGAGCGGAGGTGAGCACGATGCCACCATCGCAGAGAACCAGCCGGGAAGGGAGGGCCCCACGATGCTCCTGCTGTGCTGCCCCTGCAGCCAGCCGCTCCCCTGATAGCGCACACAGGCGACTCACTGCCCTGCGGCTGCAGGGGCACTGCAAGGAGCACCCCACATGCCCAGGCACCCCGGTTTAGGGTGTGCATCACCCCGCCCTGTGCCAATCAGCCTGTGTGACCTGTCACCTGCTGTGTGCGAATCCCTTAAGTTCAGTTTAGTCCATTAAAGATCCGTTTAGAAAATGCCTTTGAAAAACAAGGGTAACTTTCAAAAAATTGAAACTTTCAAATCCATTTATATTTTTATTATAAATAAAACTTAAAAGTTTAACCAACTGGCTGAAAACTCACCAGCAATTTAAAAAATGGTAACTTACCAGCATTTCCTCATCAGAGTTCCCTCTACAGTAAGGGCATATCTGGATCTGTAAGGGCTGGCGGACTCTGAATGAATGTTAGGGTTTTTTAAATCACCACCTATGAGGATACTAACGATAGTCCCTATATCCATCCAGAAGTGCTGGCAGAAAGCCCTGGCCACCATCCAGGACAGACCACACCACAGCGCCACACCCAGCGCCCCCCTGGGGGCTCCCCCACATCGAGGTCTGGGAGAATGCCTGTTTTCAGGCATTTCTGGGCTGTGACAACACGTGAGCAGGAGAACCGTGCAAGTCTCCGGGAGGGAATCTTCCTGGGGCCCAGAGACTCCTCCACCCCTGAGGAGGGCAGAGAGGCTGAGGAGGGCCTGGACAGGTGCCTGGAGGCTGGCAGGGGGAAGCATCCTCACCTGCAGGCCTGGGAGGCTGTCCCTGGCATTTCTGGCCGAAGCCACCATGCTCTGAGCTTGGTGGGCCAGTGTGGGGCATCCCCACACTCAAAGACCAAATGGCAGCCTCCGGGAAACCAAAACTGAAACATAACCTTCTGTTAAACTCTGTATCTTATTATTTTTTTACAATAGAAAGTTAAAACTTAAGACTTAGATTTACTATATATTTTTTCTCTCAGATTACAAAGTTTATATTATAGAACTGGGGTTCCCTAAATTGATTTCTTTAAAACACTCTTAAAGAGACCAGAAGTGAATACAAAAGAACTAAACAAAATAAAAAATGAGAATTTGGTGTAGCTGAAAGCTGTCTAAACCTGTAAGTCTCCAAGCTTCATACAAAAAAAACCCACAAAGAAAATAAAAAATGAGAATTTGGTGTAGCTGAAAGCTGTCTAAACCTGTGTGTCTCCAAGCTTCATACCAAAAAAAAACCCACAAAGAAAATAAAAAATGAGAATTTGGTGTAGCTGAAAGCTGTCTAAACCTGTAAGTCTCCAAGCTTCATACAAAAAAAACCCACAAAGAAAATAAAAAATGAGAATTTGGTGTAGCTGAAAGCTGTCTAAACCTGTAAGTCTCCAAGCTTCATACAAAAAAAAAAACCCACAAAGAAAATAAAAAATGAGAATTTGGTGTAGCTGAAAGCTGTCTAAAGCTTTAAGTCTCCAAGCTTCATACAAAAAAAAACCCACAAAGAAAGTAAAAAATGAGAATTTGGTGTAGCTGAAAGCTGTCTAAAGCTTTAAGTCTCCACGTTTCATACAAAAAAAAGAAAACCCACAAAGAAAAACAAGCAGAAAACCCAATGAACCCAGGGGCGAGCGCCGACAGACGTGGGTGGGCACGGCGCAGGGCAGAGGTTAGCACCTGGAGACGACAGGCCTGCCACCAGACAGGCCCCGGGCCCGGCACGCCGCCGAAAAGGCCTGCCTCTCTGCGATTGTTTGAATGCATGTCTTCTGTGGTTTTTCTTTTCTTTTTTTTTTAAATGAGCAATGATGTTAATAAATAACTATTATATACACATAAGCTCGGGAAAGTGGCTCCCAAGGGCGCAGCAGCAGCAGCAGGGCCAGCGCTAGCCAGGCGGGGACGCACATCGGGCTGGACTTCCGTAGAAAATTGCCAAACCTTACCAAAAAAAGCCTCCTTTTGTTTTTTTAATCTTTTCTTCTGTTTTTTAAAGTTGAGGTAAAAGCTTCAGTGTATGGAAACCTGCAGGCTGCACACACAGCCGCGCCATTCCCTCCGGGGAGCTCCAGACTTCACCACGACGGAGAACACGACACCCCTCCTGGCCATGACCCCACCTGTCCCCACCCCAAGGGTTCCACGCTCTGGGCTGGGGCTGCGATGACCCTTGGCTTAGGCCCAGCCTTGTCCCCACAAGCAGGCACATCGGTCCTCAGCCCCTCCAGAAAGAGGCAGCTGCGTCAGACACGAGGGTCAGAGCTTGAGGCCCAAATGACAGGGACAATACCTGTTTAGAAAGCTAACAGCTTTCAAGTATGGTGCCCATGTCCGAGACACTTCCTGGGAAAAGATTCTTTCTGGAGCTACAGACCAGGCTGGGCCTAAGCAAAGGGATTGATTCCATGAGGTCCTTTGGTGGGAGTCTCACATGGTTTACTGGGGTCATGGGGTTAGCATTTGAAGTTGCCCTCTCCAAGTGACTGATTCAGTGATGAAGACCCTTTCTGTGGAGTACACACCTTCTCATCAAATCCGACGCACACACAAGAGCTCTAACCTATGAAAGCAAAAACTGGAAGATATCGTAAGGCTGAATGAAAAAGACCTGCACACCATGGAACAGAGGTGCTATATTAACCACAGAAGGGGCAGGCAGAGTCTCGGCGTGGGCCGCATCCATCTGTCCGGTTGTGTCCGAAGCCAGTTCATTCTGAGTCGCTGCTGTCAGAGCTGGACCCGCTGGAGCTGCCGCTGCTGAGCCTGGAAGGGCCCCCTGAGGGTGCAGAGCCGGGTTTCTCTTTCTGGGCGGGCTTCTTGCTGCTGCTCAGCTGCCCACTGACGTCCTGCGGACGCCTTTCCAGCTCCTTCTTTTCCTGAGCTAGCTCCTCTTTCAACTTGGCTGCCTGCTTCTCGCTCAAGAACGGTTTGCTTTGCTTTTTCTGTAAACAAGACTTGACATATCTCTCCAGTCCCCGCAAAGTGGTGGGTTTCAGAGTCTCAAAGTCAATTTCTATCTCGTCGGGGTTGGAGTGCCTGAGCGAGGGCTCCCGAGACTGGATGATGTGTACCACCCGGCCCAGCTTCTCCCCGGGCAGCCGGTTGATGTCCAGGCTGAGCTGGTGCTTCTCATCATAGCTCATGGGCAGGGCCTCCTCCTCTTCCTCCGAGTCGTAGAAGGCGGATGCCTGCTTGCCGCCTTTCTTCAGCTGCCTGCCCACTGCGGTGGTGCTGGTGGCCTTCTTGGCAGGAGCCCTATTCTGCTGGGCCTGCTTGGCAGGCGGAGCCACCTTGGCCTTCTTCTCTTCCTCGGCCTTCTCCTTCTTCTCCTTCTTCTTCTTTGGTTTGTTTACTGGGGCCTGAGACAGGGCGGCCAGCTGCTCCTGCATGGCCTTCAGCTGCTCCTGCAGCTCCGCCAGCCTGGTGGCCCGCTCCTCCTCCTCCTCCTCCTCCTCCGAGCTGCCCGAGTCCGAAGAGCTCTCCTCTCTGCTGCGGCTGCTCTCGGTGCCCATGCTCACCACGGGGGCTGCCGGGGCAGGAAGCGGCGGCGCCTCCACGGGCTCATCTGGCATCTTGGCAAGCCTCATCTCAAACACAGCCTGGAGCTTCCGGGCCATGGCCACCACCTCATGGTCCGGCGGATTGTATTTGTAGCAATTGGAGAACATGAGCCGGACGTCGGCAGCAAAGCCCTGTGCGTCTGGGTGCTGCCCGCCATCCATCTTCCTTTTCACCGTGCTGGGGTCCATGGGGTGCTTGATGACGTCGAGGTGGTCGTCCACCGGCTGGTAGAAGGGCCAGGCGTAGGCCGCGTGATTCTTGGACAGCAGGTCCCTGAGGATGCGGTCGCAGCCGCGCAGGTGCTCAGACCGCGTGCCCTTGGTGCCTGCATGCGGGGGCCCCTCGCCGTCCTCCAGGTCCTTCTCGGGAGGCGTAATGGGGCGGCCCCCACTCTCCCGCCGCGCCACCACGTTGGCCTGCTTGGGGTCCGACAGCGGCGGGGGCGACGTCGTGTTACTGGTTGCGCCTGCTTTCCGCTTCACGCCCTTTTTCTTGACAACGGGCGGCGTAGGAGGAACCACGGGGGCGATGGGTGTGGCAGGAGGAGGTGGGGCGGCAGCTGGGGGCACTGGGACCGACGTGATGTGTGCGGTGGTTGGTTCAGGGGTGGCAGCGATGACGGGCGTCTGGGACACAGTGGGGGGTACACTCTGAAGGGGGGTCGCTGGGGAGGCAGAGGACACGGCCGCCACCTGCTGCGTACCTGTGCTCCGGGCTCCCGCAGCTGGCTCCCGACCTTTGCCCTTTGGAGCAGGGTCTAGCACTTCAACTTCCTCTTGGGGCATCTGGGCCACTTTTTGCAGGAAAGTTTTCTCTAAGGCTTGGGCCATGAGCACTGTACCGTCCGTGGGCTTGTTATAAATGTAACAATTTCTAAACATGGTGCTGAAGTCCTGCATACATTCGCTGGCACTCCAGTAGTAATCATTTTCTAGTCTCTTCTTAATAGTCCCCATATCCATTGGATTTTTAATTATTTTATGATAATCCGGCAGGTTCAGTTTGATTGCGTCGACGGGCCGGCAGAAGGGCCAGGCCGACTGGTGCGTCCAGAGCGTCTTCACCACGCTCCGCATGTACTGCAGCTGGTTGGTCTTGCGGCCGGGCTTGCGGGGGTTGGAGACCTCCGGGGGCGGTGGGTTCACAGGGCCCGGGGCCGCCGGGATCCCCGCGGGGGTGACCGTGCTGGTGGTGGTGGTGGTGGTGGGCATCCTCCGGCAGCTCACTGACTTTCTGTCACAGCGGCGGCTGGGAGAGGCCCGGGCTGCTTCTATGCTCCCTGAAGACCCGGGACGTCCCGCTTCCCGGCTTAACCAGGCGACGGTTGGCCTCGCGGCTCCAGCGGCTGTCCCCTCCGGCCCGCGCGGCCGGCTCCGCTCAGCTCAGCTGTTTTTTTAATGAAGATCATTTACAGTGCCTGGAAAATGTAGATACTACATGTATACTCTGAATAGAACTTACATCAGCATCAGACATTACATTGATATTCACTTGCCTAATTATTATTCTGTAAGATCAGCATTTTTTTTAATATCTACATTACTGAATGTGCTTCATTTATTTATTTATTTACTTTTTTTTAAATTGCATTTTAGGTTTTGGGGTACATGTGAAGAACATGCAAGGTACTTGCATAGGTACACACACGGCAGTGTGATTTGCTGCCTTCCTCCCCTTCACCTATATCTGACATTTCTCCCCAAGCTCTCTCTCCCCAACTCCCCACCCCCTGCTGTCCCTCCCCTATTCCCCCCAACAGACCCCAGTGTGTAGTGCTCCCCTCCCTCTGTCCATGTGTTCTCATTGTTCAACACCCACCTATGAGTGAGAATATGCAGTATTTCATTTTCTGTTCTTGTGTCAGTTTGCTGAGAATGATGTTCTCCAGATTTATCCATATCCCCACAAAGGACAAGAACTCATTGTTTTTCATGGCTGCATAGTATTCCATAGTGTATATGTGCCACATTTTCCCTGTCCAGTCTATCATCGATGGGCATTTGGGTTGGTTCCAGGTCTTTGCTATTGTAAACAGTGCTGCAATGAACATTCGTGTGCATGTGTCCTTATCGTAGAACGATTTATAGTCCTTTGGATATATACCCAGTAATGGGATTGCTGGGTCAAATGGAATTTCTATTTCTAAGGCCTTGAGGAATCGCCACACTGTCTTCCACAATGGTTGAACTAATTTACACTCCCACCAACAGTGTAAAAGTGTTTCTATTTCTCCACATCCTCTCCAGCATCTGTTGTCTCCAGATTTTTTAATGATCGCCATTCTAACTGGTGTGAGATGGTATCTCAATGTGGTTTTGATTTGCATCTCTCTAATGACCAGTGATGATGAGCATTTTTTCATATGTTTGTTGGCCTCATGTATGTCTTCTTTTGTAAAATGTCTGTTCATATCCTTTGCCCGCTTCTGAATGGCCTTGTTTTTTTCTTGTAAATCTGTTTTAATTCTTTGTAAATTCTGGATATCAGCCCTTTGTCAGATGGGTAAACTGCAAAAAAAATTTTCCCATTTTGTTGGTTGCCCATTCACTCTAATGACTGTTTCTTTTGCCGTGCAGAAGCTGTGGAGTTTGATTAGGTCCCATTTGTCCATTTGGGCTTTTGTTGCCAATGCTTTTTGTGTTTTGGTCATGAAGTCCTTGCCTACTCCTATGTCCTGAATGGTTTTGCCTAGATTTTCTTCTAGGGTTTTTATGGTGCCAGGTCTTATGTTTAAGTCTTTAATCCATCTGGAGTTAATTTTAGTTTAAGGTGTCAGGAAAGGGTTCAGATTCTGCTTTCTGCACATAGCTAGCCAGTTTTCCCAACACCATTTATTAAACAGGAAATCCTTTCCCCATTACTTTTTTGTCAGGTTTATCAAAGATTGTATGGTTGTGGATATGTTGTGTTGCCTCCGAGGCCTCTGTTCTGTTTCATTGGTCTATATCTCTATTTTGGTACCAGTACCATGCTGTTTTGATTACTGTAGCCTTGTAGTATACTTTGAAGTCTGGTAGTGTGATGCCTCATGCTGTGTTCTTTTTGCTTAGAATTAACTTGGCTATGTGGGCTCTCTTTTGGTTCCACATGAAGTTCAAGGTGGTTTTTTCCAGTTCTGTGAAGAAAGTCAATGGTAGCTTGATGGGGATAGCGTTGATTCTGTAAATTACTTTGGGCAGTATAGCCATTTTCACGATACTGATTCTTCCTAACCATGAACATGGAGTGTTTCTCCATCTGTTTGTGTCCTCTCTTATTTCGTTGAGCAGTGGGTTGTAGTTCTCCTTGAAGAGGTCCCTTATGTTCCTTGTGAGTTGTATTCCTAGGTATTTTATTCTCTTTGTAGCAATTGTGAATGGCAGTTCGTTCTTGATTTGGCTCTCTTTAAGTCTGTTATTGGTGTATAGGAATGCTTGTGATTTTTGCACATTGATTTTATATACTGAGACTTTGCTGAAGTTGCTTATCAGTTTCAGGAGTTTTGGGGCTGAGATGATGGGGTCTTCTAGATATACTACCATGTCGTCTGCAAATAGAGACAATTTGGCTTCCTCCTTTCCTATTTGAATACCCTTTATTTCTTTTTCTTGCCTGATTGCTGTGGCTAGAACTTCCAGTACTATATTGAATAGGAGTGGTGAGAGAGGGCATCCTTGTCTAGTGCCAGATTTCAAAGGGAATGCTTCCAGTTTTTGCCCATTCAGTATGATATTGGCTGTTGGTTTGTCGTAAATAGCTTTTATTATTTTGAGATACGTTCCGTCAATACCTAGTTTATTGAGGGTTTTTAGCATAAAGGGCTGTTGAATTTTGTCAAATGCCTTCTCTGCAGCAATTGAGGTAATCATGTGGTTTTTGTTTTTGGTTCTGTTTATGTGGTGAATTACGTTTATAGACTTGCGTATGTTGAACCAGCCTTGCATCCCCAGGATAAATCCTACTTGATCATGGTGGATAAGCTTTTTGATGTGCTCTTGCAATTGGGTTGCCAGTATTTTATTGAAGATTTTTGCGTCTATGTTCATCATGGATATTGGCCTGAAGTTTTCTTTTCTTGTTGAGTCTCTGCTGGGTTTTGATATCAGGATGATGTTGGTCTCATAAAATGATTTGGGAAGGATTCCCTCTTTTTGAATTATTTGGAATAGTTTCAGAAGAAATGGTACCAGTTCCTCTTTGTGTGTCTGGTAGAATTCGGCTGTGAACCCATCTGGACCTGGGCTTTTTTTGTGTGGTAGGCTCTTAATTGCTGCCTCAACTTCAGATCTTGTTATTGGTCTATTCATAGTTTCAACTTCTTCCTGGTTTAGGCTTGGGAGGACACAGGTGTCCAGGAATTTATCCATTTCTTCCAGGTTTACTAGTTTATGTGCATAGAGTTGTTTGTAATATTCTCTGATGATGGTTTGAATTTCTGTGGAATCTGTGGTGATTTCCCCTTTATCGTTTTTTATTGCATCTATTTGATTATTCTCTTTTCTTTTTTTATTAATCTGGCTAGTGGTCTATTTTGTTGATCCTCTCTAAAAACCAGCTCTTGGATTTATTGATTTTTTGAAGGGTTTTTCGTGTCTCTATCTCCTTCAGTTCTGCTCTGATCTTAGTTATTTCTTGTCTTCTGCTAGGTTTTGAGTTTTTTTCATCTTGCTCCTCTAGTTCTTTCCATTTTGATGATAGGGTGTCAATTTTGTATCTCTCCTTTCTTCTCATGTGGGCACTTATTGCTACATATTTTCCTCTAGAGACTGCTTTAAATGTGTCCCAGAGATTCTGGCATGTTGTGTCTTTATTCTAGTTGGTTTCAAAGAACTTCTTTATTTCTGCCTTGATTTCATTGTTTATCCAGTCAACATTCAAGAGCCAGTTGTTCAGTTTCCATGAAGCTGTGCGGTTCTGAGTTAGTTTCTGAATTCTGAGTTCTAACTTGATTGCACTATGGTCTGAGAGACTGTTTGTTATTATTTCCATTATTTTGCATTTACTGAGGACTGATTTACTTCCAATTATGTGGTCAATTTTAGAGTAGGTGTGATGTGGTGCTGAGAAGAATGTATATTCTGTGGATTTGGGGTGGAGAGTTCTGTAAATGTCTGTCAGGTTTGCTTGTTCCAGGTCTGAGTTCAAGTCCTGGATATCCTTGTTAATTTTCTGTCTGGTTGATCTGTCTAATATTGACAGTGGAGTGTTAAAGTCTCCCACTATTATTGTGTGGGAGTCTGAGTCTCTTTGTAAGTCATTAAGAACTTGCCTTATGTATCTGGGTGCTCCTGTATTGGGTCCGTATATATTTAGGATCGTTAGCTCTTCTTGTTGTATCAATCCCTTTACCATTATGTAATGTCCTTCTTTGTCTCTTTTGATCTTTGTTAATTTAAAGTCTATTTTATGAGATGAAAATTGCAACTCCTGTTTTTTTTTTTTGCTTTTTTTTTTTTTGCTCTCCATTTGCTTAGTAAATCTTCCTCCATCCCTTTATTTTGAGCCTTTGTGTATCCTTGCATGTGAGATGGGTTTCCTGGATACAGCACACCGATGGGTTTTGGCTTTTTTTCCAATGTGCCAGTCTGTGTCTTTTGATTGGGGCATTTAGTCCATTTACATTTAGGGTTAATATTGTTATGTGTGAATTTGATCCTGCCATTTTGATGCTAGCTGGCTGTTCTGCCCGTTAGTTGATGCAGATTCTTCATTGTGTTGATGCTCTTTAGCATTTGGTATGTTTTTGGAATGGCTGGTACTGGTGGTTCCTTTCTATGTGTAGTGCCTCTTTCAGGAGCTCTTATAAAGCAGGCCTGGTGGTGACAAAATCTCTGAGTACTTGCTTGTTCACCTAGGATTTAATTTTTCCTTCACTTATGAAGCTTAATTTGGCTGGATATGAAATTCTGGGTTGAAAGTTCTTTTCTTAAGGATGTTGAATATTGGCCCCCACTCTCTTCTGGCTTGTAGGGTTTCTGCCGAGAGATTTGCTGTGAGTCTGATGGGCTTCCCTTTGTGGGTGACCCAACCTTTCTCTCTGGCTGTCCTTAGCATTTTCTCCTTCATTTCAACCCTGGTGAATCCAGGGTTGCTCTTCTTGCAGAATATCTTTGTGGTGTTCTCTGTATTTCCTGGACTTGAATATTGGCCTGCCTTGCTAGGTTGGGGTAGTTTTCCTGGATAATATCCTGAGGAGTATTTTCCAGCTTGGATTCATTCTCTTCGTCACATTCAGGTACACCTATCAAAAGTAGATTAGGTCTTTTCACAAAGAGACCTTTTTGTTTTTCCCCAGGGAAAGGTCTTTTCCCATATTTCTTGGAGACTGTTTATTCCTTTTTATGCTTTTTTCTCTAATCTTGCCTTCTCATTTTATTTCATTGAGTTGATCTTCGACCTCTGA